CGAGAATTATTTTATATGATAAAGTAGCTATTGTCGACCCTGTATATGAACCTGTAAGGTCGGAATACAGAAGTAGGCCAAGAAGCATCACTCCACCAGATTATGATCGTCCATATTCTTACGCTTGGTCACCAGTGCCTGACAGAAGGAGGCCGCCACCAGATGATAGAGCATATGGAATACCACCTACTGTGCCTCCACATCACAGAGATTTTCGGCCTCCAATGCATGAATACCCGATGGCAGGGCCACATGGGCCTCCAATGCACCACAGGCCCCCAATGCACCATCCTCCTCACCCACATTATATGCCAAGGCCCTATATGCCAAGACCACACCATCCACCTTTTGAGAAAATGGAAAACAAAAAAGATAAATTTCCAAACTACTTGCACCATGTTCAACCTGAAGATGATCCTTTAGCTACCAGAACTCTTTTTGCAGGAAATTTAGAAATCAACATATCAGACGAGGAACTCCGTCGTATATTTGGTCGTTATGGTATTGTAGAAGATATTGATATAAAACGTCCCCCTCCTGGTACCGGTAATGCTTTTGCTTTTGTTAGGTACCAAACTTTAGACATGGCTCATAGAGCCAAAGTAGAACTTTCTGGACAGTACATTGGAAAATTCCAATGTAAGATAGGATATGGCAAGGCAACACCAACAACTCGTGTTTGGGTTGGTGGTCTAGGACCATGGACATCAGTAGCCCAATTAGAAAGGGAATTTGATAGATTTGGTGCTATCAAAAAGATTGAATATGCTAAAGGAGAAGCACAGGCTTATATTTTGTATGATTCTATAGATGCAGCTCAAGCTGCTGTAAAAGAAATGAGAGGGTTTCCTTTAGGGGGTCCTGATAGACGTCTTCGTATAGACTTTGCTGATGTAGGCACAGGGGGTCCGTATAGACCTAAGCCTTATGCACCACCTGTAGGTGAAGATGGAAGGCCTGTGGAAGGATATGAGGGTTACGAAGGAGGATCATGGGATGAAGGATATGGATATGGGTCAGGTTATAGAGGTCGTGGTCGTGGTCGTGGCCGCGGCATGTATAGGGGTGCGTATCATGGTGCAGGGGATTATCGAGATGAGGAATGGAGAAGATCTCAGGCAGATGGTGACTACGAGAGCCGCGCCAGACGCTCTGGATCACGTGAGCCGGGAGTCGATAGGTCTAGATCCCGATCGCCTCGTCGTCGCTCTCCAGAAAGTGATTCTGACGGTTCACCACGGCGTAGTACTGGAATGCTGTCATCAGCAAGAACTCTACCTGAAGTAGTACGTAAAGCAGCAACAATATGGAATGGAGCCCTTATTTTGAAAAACTCATTATTCCCAACCAAATTCCATTTAACTGACGGTGACTCTGAAATAATTGATAGCCTTATGAAAGACGAAGATGGAAAAAATCAATTAAGAATTACTCAAAGATTGAGATTGGATCAGCCAAAATTGGATGATGTACAAAAACGTATAGCAACTTCTAGTTCCCATGCTATATTTTTGGGAGTGGCAGGATCAACGGCATCTATAACAAATGAAGATGCAAGTATTCAGACAAGGCCTATGCGGAACTTGGTATCGTACCTTAAACAGAAAGAGGCTGCAGGTGTTATATCATTGTTGAACAAAGAAACAGAAGCTACAGGTGTTCTTTATTCTTTTCCTCCTTGTGAATTTTCGACAGAGCTCCTAAAAAGGACTTGCCACAACTTGACAGAGGAAAGTCTGAAAGAAGATCACCTTGTTATTGTAGTTGTCCGTGGGGGCTCTGCGTAAAATATAAATTTTCTATATAGCTTAGATAAAACATTTAGCATAAAAGTATTCTTTTTAGGTTACAATTATTTTTTTATTCTATAGTTTTTTATAATGTAATTTATGTGGCGTGTAGTGCACTGTGAGGTGTTTCTAACTTAGTTTTGTGAAGGTTAAAGTATTGTTATTGTGTAGTGCTGTGAAGGTATTTACAAAGTTTGTGAAAAGCAATAATTATACCACATATCTAGGTTACTTTTAAATTAGTTTTGCTAGGATTAACTTTGGACAAAATACTACAATTGTGTATTAATGCTGACAAAGGCAAGTTATAGTGTATAATGTATCCAGTGTAAGTTAGGTGATTGTGTTGTGTGTGAATATGCAAATAGAATATTAAATCTGAAGTTGTAGTTTTTTTACACCTTGTGAGTAAGTGTATTACTTTAAAGTGCAAGTTTGTTAAAATTTGTGTAAAGTTTGTGGTAATTAAAGGTGCTAAATTTTATATGATTTGGACATAAATTGAGACTGGGTAATCTTTGTGCAGCACAAGTGAATGCTTTGTAAAGCACAGTTTTGTGGGGTTCTGTGATAGCTGAAGTGTTGTGCTGGTGGTCAGTTTAGATTCAGTAGTTTTATCTGTGATTATTGTGAAAAAATGGGGTGCCAAATCTGTAAGTAGCAACACTAAAATGTTTGAATATAGAACAACCAAAAATAAGTAAATACTACAAAATTTTTAACTTGATTAGGACTTTCAGTATACAGTTTTTTAATAAAAATTAATTCCACAACTGGAACAAAAAAAAAACACATTAAATTAGTAAACCTGATGCTAAGTGATTGGATGGGCGGTAGATTTCTTCTGAGTTCATTATTTAGGTGCTGTTGTTTCTGCTGTGATATTAATTATGCCATATAAATATAGACTAAATAGAAATTTTGTTTCCAATGTAAACACAAAAAAAGCTAGTGCTTTTGTTGATGATTAAAAGGGAATTTGTAATACAAAAATTATTTTTATAGCTTTCAATGAACAATTACACATTAAAATGAGTACCCAGCTATTTCTCCATATAGCAAGATAAGTTGGGTAAGTTAAAATTAGACAAAGATTATAAAAAGGAATAACTGTTTTTTTAACTGTTTTGGGTATTTCCTCTCTAGTCAACGCCATTGAACATGAGAATGGTTTATCTTAATATCTCATACAATTATTGGTAAAATGTACATTTATTTTAATCAAACCAGGTTACAATGGAGTTCTTCATAGTTCCAGTGCTGGTGACTTGTAGTGTAAGTGGTTTGTATGACCTTTTTTTATTTCTTGATATAGTTATATATAGCAATTTTTCTAAAACAAAAGATAAGCTTAGTTTTAAAATCATCTGTTTTGAGTAATAGTTTAAATTAAATAATTTAATTAATCATCTGTGATAAAGTTTCAATCCATCAGTATTTCTGTATTTTCTATTAATATTATGGAATAGTGGATCCAGTTATTTTTCTAAATAAATGTCTTAACTTCTCAGACTGTCTTTTAATGCAACAAACCTATAACCAAGTTTCAACAAGTATATCTGGAAAATTACTATAAATCGCCTATCCCACCACTGGCTAATAGCTTAAAATGACGACATTGTCAGGTTACAAGTTTCATATTTCCATTACACAATTTACATGTTGAATTTTCAATTTTACAAGTTGATGGGACAGGTTCTAATTATTACTAATATATCAAAACATACTGGAAAAATACCAAATGGCAAAGATATTTTTAATACTAGCCACATATTTTTTAAATAAATGTACACATATTTGTTTAAATAAATGTCTCAAAGGATTTTCATATCCAACCTAAACATGCTTTTTTTACATTGCGCCTGTAGGATATATTAGCAATTTCCTCACTACAACCACTTTCTGTACCGTTATCGTGAATTTAATCGCTTAAAAAGCGAAAATCCTAGAAAAAAAGTAGCTCTGTCAAATACTTTCAATTCAAGGAAGCGAGGAAAATAATAGTATGTGAATATGTCAAATGCATTTATTATTAAACAGTGAATAAATAATTTATTGACACCTTACAATTGATAAATATATTACATAAACAATATCAATGGGATATCATACCAAAGTATGTTTTTTTCAATAAGACACAATTTTGAGAGACACAAATAATGTGTACAATATATCTTATACTAACGTTATTCACTGAGATGCAAATCCTTCCTAAGGGTGTAGGCAGAGACATGCATCATGTAAGGTTCCTGTTCAAGGAAGTTGTCTATAGCTCTTTGCCTAACTTCCTCCCAAGTGTAGAGGTCTCTGTATATTGGTCGTACGAATTTCATCCGTCCCTGATGGTTCAAGAAGTCCAGCACCTCGTCCAGTTTAGTTGAATCTTTGCTTCTTACACACAATCTCATCCATCTGTATTGGATTTCGGAGTTCTTGCTGTCACTGATTTTGTATGCGTCGTTGAGAGCGTGCAGTTTTTCAATAGTTAATGCATTTCTATCGACGAGCTCTTGCAGTAAATTGATGATTTGATGTGGAGTGAAGCCTTTTATATCGTCAGAGGAAATATTACCACCTTCAGAGATCTTCGTCGCGAGTGCTGTTACCGCTTTTGTCATCGAAGTGTCGTAACTATAAAAATTTTTAATATAATAACATATATGGCGGAAATGAATATTCTATCTTTGAGATTAATAAGAAATTACGTAGGAAAGGGAGTACAAAAATAACAATTACAGTACAAAATTGGTTAAATCAATCTTAATTCTGACTAGATCTACTATGGATAGATGTAATGTTAGAAGGTATCTCCAAAACGGAACGAAACTCTTCTATGACGTGACGATTTTCGTTTTTTTTCTTACTAACTTACTAGAACAGTACTAACTTGGGTATGACGGGAGGCATGCCGTTGTGGAAGAACCAAGCGTCCCAGTCGACGCTGCTCAAGTTATTGTTACCGCTGAAGTAATCCAGCAAATATTCCTTGAACTCTTCCGTGTCCAACGAACGTCGCTGGTAATAGTTCAAGTACGATCTGATGAATTTGTCAAAAACTTCTGCAAAAACATAATAAGTTGCACTGACTATGCCTATTAAAATACCCGAGTTACGTAAAAAGGCGTATATGTAGTACAAAAACGTTATAAAAAAGTGTTTACATAAAAATGGACTTTGTTAAAACACTTATTAAAAACATTGTCATCTCACATTTATAAAAAATAAAAAAATATGTTTTAGCTCAAATATTTCGGTAGTAAATACTAACGACGAGAAAATTTCGGTGAAGCAAATTGCGAATGAACAAAAACAATATGACCAAGCTTAATTAAAATACAAATAAATCTAACCAGGTCCTCCTACAAGATCTTCTAAATAGCGTAGAAAGAGCGATCCTTTTTCATATGGGACTCGAGAGAAAGCATCGTCCGGGTGCACTCCGTTTAGATCCGGCACCAACTTCGTCAATGCACTGGACGGTCCAAATTGATCATTTATCTGAAAATATACATAGAAAGTAAATTAACATAGAGTTCCACAATGTGTATAAAAATTAAAAATCCGAAAATAATTATAAATGTGAAGCCATTGGCACTAATATAGACATGGATAATTTGATCAATTAGATTTTGGAATATGCAATTTAACACCGTCATCTTAGTAATTAGAACTTGGAATATGCCAATTTAATTCCGTCATCTTAGTAGATGACGGAGTATAATGGCATGAAAATATTTACAAATCGTAGCAGTATATCATACAGCTTCAGTGAGTTCCTGTAGTCCGAGTAAGCTATGAAAGTCCCGGCTGCGGCGCGCCTCCGCGGGGTCCGCGATCAGCGAGGCGCCCACCTTCCTCTCCAGGAATACGGTGAAGCCCTCATTCAGCCAGAAATGCTCAAAGTTCTTGTTGGTCACCAAGTTGCCTGTCCAACTGTGCATTATCTCATGGACTATCACATCCGCTTGACTTCTGTCCCCAGCCTGGAATAGTATTGCAATTGTTTACAAATATGAATTGTACTTTAGTAACTTTGGTATCCTGAATGTATAAATTTTATACCAAAGGTAAACACGAATTTGTGTTGCCAAAAATCCATCTTAATTTTATAATAATGTAAAATCAAAATATGTTCAGATTTAATTTAAAATTTAAATAAAATTTGTGTTTGGAGTAAAATGCTTGGTCCTCAATTTAAGAGGAGTATATAACACAATTCCTCGGTTCTCTCTGATATTTGAAAATGAATTATTTTAGTTAGATTTAAATCATAGTCATGATCAATCTTACTAATATTATAAATGCGAAAGTTTATATGGAGGTTTGTTAGAGCTTGTAGCTTAAACTGCTGAACGGACCTCCAACAAAGGCGTAGAGAATAGTCTGGAAGAACACCTACTAAATTTTTTAACTTTACGCGGAGGTATACAAAAGTTATTTTATATTATTTGTTTGTCACCAGTAATGTAGGTGTGACGAATGTGAGACAGGGGTTCTCCATGCCGCCGTAGGGGAAGGAGGGCGGCAGCACCAGCAGGTCGTACTGCCCCCACTGGTAGGGCCCGCAGAGGCTCTCCGCCGCCTTCAGGTACTTCTCCGTGTCCGCGAACTCCCACGCGCTGCGCTCGATCTCCTCTTTCTCAGACCATACGTAAGATCTTTAATTCATAAATACATTTACGTATAAATTTTAAACTACCCACTGAGAATCTGCAGGATTTTTACAAAACCAAAAAGTTTAATGATCGTACATACTAATATTTTAAAGAGAAAAGATTTGGATTTTTGTATGTATTCAAATTACCTAAAAACTGCTGTTTCGATTTTAAAAATTCTTTCTCCATTATAAAGCTATGTTATCAGTGAGTAACATAGGCTATGTTTCTATTAATTTTAAATTTCACGCAGACGAAGTCGCGAGCAACAACTATATTTAACATATTTGGAATAAAATGGAAACAAATTGATTACTAGGTTTCGACCGCGGCACCGTCCACTTGGAATTAAAAAAAAACATTTATTGGCGTTTCATATGGTATATATTGCAACTATTTACGACTAAAGCTTAGTAATCCTGTTTACATTTTTATCGCACAACAATTTTATCAATGTTTTTGAAATCTATGAGAAATTAATGTTAATGTCATGGAACTATTTATCTATAATTTACGTAACACGATAACTGGATTATGTCTTTTTTATGTAATAACGATAAGTACACTAAGCAACCTTGCTTAGCCATAGTTGTGGTTAAGGAAAACGACACTATTCTGCAGTTTACCTTTTAAACTAGTTAGTTAAATGTCAAATATACATTATTTTGCATAATTAAGGGCACATACAGGTTTTATATGACCAAGTGTTTCAGAATATTTTATTTGAATTACCTTAAATATGATTGCAAAAATTATAAACCTCTAATACCATGTTGAAATTTGAAAGCTGGTATAATATCACGTTTTACTTCTCACCTTGAGTTATTTAACCGACCCAGACTTAGGTTTTTAAAAATATTCATACACTAGCTATTCTCGTGCGGCTTCATCCGCATGAAGTTATAAAAACCTTATTTTATTGTTTACATTTCTGAAATTTTCAATTGCACATGTTAAAATACAAATGCAAAAATGACAAATTTGACATTGGATAACAATTACCGTTACCATGGCAACCATGGTTCTTTTATGTTGTCAGCTCGTAGTTTTTGTCCCTTTCCCGCATGACGGTTTTTTCAAAATTATATACTCCCAAAGTTTAATAGCGTGATAACATATAGCCTAAAGAGTGTTGTAAATGTAGGGCTTTTTATAAAAAATGGCTATTAAAAAATATATATTGTGATTGCTGACATCCTACATAACTTAGTAGTTGTTTACGCTTTATTATATTAGTATAGAAGTATAGATTTAACATTTAAAGAGGTTTTTATATGGCCTTACCTAGGTCCAAGTTGCTTGCACTCCAGCGCTCCAACGGCAATAGCCAGTAAATACGATGGTATGGGCACATTCTGGTAGAACTTGGTGATGGTGGTGTTGCTGTCGCCTCTGATGGCGCTCATCAGCACCTTAAAGTTCTTGGGGACGGAGACTTCGGCTTCGTAAGTGAACTTCACAGCTGGCGTGTCTTGGCATGGTAAGATAGACCGAGCGTGGATAGGCTAAAGAAAAAAATTAAATCATTTGATGCACCCATTGACTCTAAGGGAGTCTCTAAGAATAGATTAAGTGTGTACATTGGATAATAAGTGCTGTCGTCTTTAAAGTAAAAAAAAAACAATTTAAAATAAGAATTTTACCTGACACTGACTGAACATGTATGGATGTTTTTTACCCGATGTCTGATTCGGTTCCAGCCATTGCAGCGCAGACGCCGAGGGCGCGGTCTGATATTTAATCTTTATAGCTATCCTGTGAAACAATCACTATAGTTAAAAATGTTTTTTTTTTTATGTAATTCAAGTATAATTTAAAATACAAAGCTAAGATCTAAGATTATTCAGGTAATCCGCCCTATAAATGGTTATTAGACCTTTATAGATGTATAAAAGAATGAAATTGATATAATCAAGCAAAAAAAATGTGTAAAATCACGATCATGAATAAGTCACAATATACAACAAGAAATATATACTCGTATAATAGTCGAAAACGACATTTTACTACACAAAAAGGGGTTAATCTCATTACAAATGTTACTTATTTACAAACCTGCTTCATATTTACGCCAATTATAATTAATTTAATGTAATGCAATTGTCAATTTCTAACCTAGAGGATTCCATTTCTTCATCGATCCTTTCCAACTTATATACACGGTTACAAACCTTATCTTCTTTGAATATTCTTCTTTTACTCTCATTAGAAACATCAATTGCATGAGGTTTATACACATCATCCACAAAGTCTAGAAATATCGTCGAGATGGCCGTTTCAATTTCTACATTTTGTGTTATCACGCTTTAAAAGATATTTTTATGCTTGATTCTATCAATTTTTATTAAAAAGATGATTTTATTGAGTCACTCATTGCATTGTTTAATTAACTCCAATAAAAGATAAATGAGAAGTTATTTTAATGTAATAATAGTGAATAGCATTTCAAGACATTGCTTTGAGAATTACAACATTAGTTCTACACGTGCAGCCTGTGGACCACTTTAACGCAGAAAGCATACAGCGCGCTGCGTGTCCAGTTTGACAACGGACTCAGAGCAATGTTGGGGTTACCACGGTTTGGAAGTGCATCAGCAATGTTTGCTGAAGCCAAGGTTAATCCGCAATCATGCGGTACAGGTGCGCTTCGCTTTTTGACCGTATCTACAGCAGTAAAAACTCTCTCCTGATTGTTTTGGCAGCAAGATGGGATAGTGCAATAGTGCGGCGCTTCAATAACTTGCACTGCTAATAATGTAACTAGTTTAAATTATTTATAAATTGTTTCTTAATTACTCTTTTACTAACACTAGTCAATAAGATTTTTTACTAACAAAATATGAGATCTCATCGAAATAAAGTTTTATTATTATTATTATTAGTAAGCTAAGTATGTTTAATTTTTTTTTAAAACATACTTGTAGATGTACATTTTTTATACTGATTTTATATTTTTGATGCCCTTGGTGGATGGTGAGGAATTTTCATTACAAACTTCAGATTGTAAAATACTGTATTAGTCGATAAAAGACAAGTCCTACAAAAACATAAGACCTAAAACCGACAAGGTCACGAAATATTTGTGAAGCGTAAAATATAACTTGAGGAAATAATCTTACAAGAATGATGTGTTGGCTTTGAAGCTTTTAATTTTTTTTACATAATATAAGGTGACAAACGAGCAAGCAGCCACCTGAATCCACCGAAATGGAAAGCGACCCCCGCCCATAAACATCCACAATTGCAGATGCATTGTCTACCCATAATTGACGGAGGAGGAGACGCAAATAAAGAGGACATTTCCCTTCCTATGCGTCTACTCCACCGTCAAATCCACTTTTCGTTCCCATCATTTCCTCTTAACAAAAGAGTGGAAAGGGATTAAAATTACATACAGAAAGTTGAGTAATACCAGAGTTTACTATGCTAAAACATGTGTGCAAACTCATATCTCTGTCTCTGTTTATTCAAGGAAGATAAGTGAGATGCCAGCATATTATGTGTTTATGTACAGATTGCTATATAGTGCAGTTTCTACACTAACTTAGGTTAATAATAGTCAAAGTATTGGAGTTAATCAATGCAAGCAGTGAATGTCTCAATTTTAAAATATACAGAATACTTACGGCTCCTGAGGTCCGTGTGAGTATGGCAATGTTATAGCTAATCTAGATCCAAAGTTAGGCACATGTTTATCCACTGTATATTTCAACTTCAACCCATCTGATAGTTCTACGGAATGTATGGTCAGATTGTTCACATCTAAAACCTGAAATTATTTAAGAGGTTTACAATTTATGCAACAAAATTAAGAACCTAGATAAGTTAAAGTTCAAGGGAAACACAAAATATTTTAAGTTATCAAGGGTTTATATTGTAGAGGTTTTGGGCTCTGATGGGATGGGAACATATTATTTTTTGAAGTTACAGGATTTTTAAGTTACCAAGGTTTGATTAATCAAGGTTGTATTATATAATATTTAATAAGATTACTTAATTTTACATTTTTATGGGTGAGCAAGCAGCCTCTGATTTAGCAAAATGAACCTTTAAGAAAAGGCATTTGCAAATGATTTATTGGTGGAAAAATTAATTACACAGGCAATTCAGATGTATGGACTTCCTTTTAAGTGTCCAATGGGTACTTGTGATAGGAAGTCCCACTCTTTAGTGTTACACATAATGTTGAAAGGTAGTTGTTGAAACCAATATAATAAAGGTTTACATTGGTTACTTAAGAATTAAATAGTGTAATATCCCTTAGTATATCTACACTTAGTGGCCATCATCGAACAACATGCAATCGTGGTTAATTAATTTAAGAGTTTTTATGTAAACTAAAAGGAGAATTATATTCAATGTATAAGTTGATAATACAACATTAAGCATGTATTGAAGCTATCTCAGATGATAACCTGACATAAGAATAGTTCAAATGATAAGGATTAAAATAAGATGGACTTTATCTTTTGCACTTGCAAATGTCTTGCGGGATTACTTGGAAAGTCATGATGTCTAGTACTGACATAAATACTTCATATTTTTCATCTATACTGATATTATAAAGAGGAAAATTCCTATGTAGCAAATAAACCCAAAAACTACTTAGCTTATTTATAATATTATTACACCATCAGAAAGCTAAATTATCACTGAGTAACAAAGGCTATATTCATTTTTGGATTTTTTAACTTCATGTAGATGAATTTGCAAGCAATGTCTATTAAACAAAATTGTATTTGTGCTAGTAAATGAAATTAATAAAAATTAAAAATTGCATACTATTTCATCAGTGTGTTGCAGTAAATCAAAGTTTAGTACAGCAATCCCTGATAGAACTTTGATATCAAAATCCACATCCCACACCAAGTGTATGTGTTTTACAACAGCTATTTCTGCAATAAAACACACATTGAAATCATACTTAAAACTATAAATGCTAAAGTTTAGATGGATGGATGGATGTTTGTTAGAGTTTGTAGCCTAAACGGCTGAACAATCATAATGAAGTTGGGAATATATGTAGAGGATAGCCTGGAAGAACACATAGGCTACTTGCATTTGTTTTATTTTTATACCTTGCGGACGGAGTCGCGGTCGAAAGCTAGTTTAATATAAAACCTAAATGTAAGCTTATAATAAAAAAGTTAATATAAGAAATTTAAGTCTCATTAAATGTTTAAAAAAATATAAAAAAAGTACCTGGCCGCGAATATGAAGAAGGATCTAGTGGACTTAATGCACCCATGACTTTCACTTGACTATAACAAAAAAAAATTAAAAAGCAAGTCCAATAGTAGCTCATTATCACAAAGTTTATGTGCTTCACCAATGAAATACAATTCAACAATGAACAATCATGTTAAGATAAAATGCGAAATTGATAGTTTCGCAACATCAATTCAATAGGCAATTCTAAACGAAAAAAAAAAGAATAGACCATGGTAACAATAAGCAGAGAAAGTAACTTACGAACTTAATTATTTAACCTAATATTTAGAAGGAATTTTTACCTTTTAAATTAACTTCCACTAATACAAGAGTAAGAGCAATGCTAAGTAGTATAAATTCAAAACGTAAATGAGGTAGCTAGTTTTATACCTTATCTTTAAAGAGGTAAGGATAAAAATATATGTAAACACGACTATATAAACATTGTATTCTACCGGTTACAAGTACATAGATAAAGATTTGTATTATTAAAGTTTTCTGCAGAACGATAAGTTATTATCACAGATGTTACGATAATACACTTACTTGGGTATTGCGAAATGTCTATTTTTTGCAGTATGGGAGAAGGTTGTTATATTAAATTTATAGGGATAAGGAAACAAAGGTTTCGTTAATATAGTACTGCAGATTCTTTCGCGTCCATAAATTATGGGGCTTTTTGTACTTTTTTGCAAAGCTAGGCAAAAATGCCGCTTGACAACTTTTGTGCAGATGACAGCCATTTTTAACAGATAAAAAAAGTTAGACTCATCAACCAGTTACTGATTCAGAATCAGATATTTATTTATTTGTGTATTTATTAATACACGTATTAATTACATAATGCGAAAAATATACAAACATATTGTTTTAAAAAGTATACTGGTTCGTATTTGTTGTATTACATACTTGAAGTGACTTACCGGCCGGCTGATGGTTGAGTTGCGGTATGCTTCTTTTGGTAGTAGAAGTAAACATGCTTTTAGTATTTTCTTGTCAAGTCATACTCATAAGAATAACACATGTACATTTTAACATCTTAATAATTTATACATTTTGCACAACAATTTTCGTATTAAAAGTTCTGTCATTTCCGTTTTTTTTAATATTTTGTAGTTTGATTTGACATTGCAAAAAAAGTTGTAGCTGTCAAGTTTGACAAAAAATATTGTGCATTTTTCACGCAAATATACCATTGGTGCCGATGTTTATAGTTGGTTCGTTAAAAATGAAGCGTTTGTAAATCTTCTAAATGTATTTATGAAGATAATTAATCTATTCTTACTTAATTGAAAAGTTTTGAAGTGATAAATGTTTTTCTAGTGACAGAAAACATGCTGTCTAGGTTCCATCATTATCATGGATCAAATATTATTCTTTTCGAAGACAACACCGTGGCCTATAGAAAGACAAGTTTTGCGCATGGGCTGACATTTAGTGAGAAACCTTTACTGCCCGGTGAAATATTTTTGGTGGAAATCGAGAAAACCGAACGGGGATGGAGTGGTCATATGCGATTAGGGTTAACACTGCTTGACCCGCAAACCGCTGCGCTCGGAGATAAAGGACTTCCCCAGTACGCTTTACCTGATTTAGCAAACACTGGTATGTCATGGATCTTTCCCATTTCGAAATCTCAGAATAATGTACTGATTGAGCTTGTCAACCAAGGGGCGAGCGGTCGCCGTGAAAATGAGCCGAGAGTTTCAGTCCTAGGTGATGGTCACAGTGTACGTACGCCTCGTGGTTTTATATCCAAAATGTTACTAAGACCACAAATATTATCACAGAATGGTACACCACAAGGTATATTGCCAATGGATGCTGGTAGCAGAATTGGCGTAATGTTTGTTCCGTGCCCTAAAACAAGTAGAGATGAACCGGATATGGCTGAGATGCATTTTATAATTAATGGGGAAGATCAAGGGCCATGTACTAAAGCAATACCATACACTAGTGGACCACTACATGCTGTGGTTGATGTGTATGGAACAACAAAACAAGTTAAAATTGTACAATTATATGGAGGTAAGCACTTATTCTATTTGCTATATTGAAACTATTAAACAAAAACTTTATTCATCTGTAATTAAAAAAAATATCTAGTGAGAAATTTATGAATATACTAGCTTTTGCTTGCAATTTTGTTCCCATTGAACAAAAAACAAAACTGAGTAGCCTACATGTTCTTCCAGATTATCCTTTACATCTATAACAAATTTCATTGAAATCTGTTCAGCCGTTTAGGCTACAAACTCTAACAAACATCCATCCATCTAAACTTTCACATTTATAATATTAGCATGATTACTGAGTGAGAATGTAGCAATATAATAGTGAAAGAAATTTAAATTGATCCAGTACTTTTAGAGTTTCATTCAAATCTTTCCTCTTTGCTTCTTTCTCTTGACCCTTATAGTTTTTGAGTTTATCAATTACATACAAAAATGTTAATTTTTTCTATTAACTATTACTATGTCTCAAATCTTTATTTTCTTACCTTTATATTTAATATATTGCACATGATTTTTTATTAAAAAAAAATAAAACAAATTATATAAAAAAATAGAAGTCCACTAGCTGCGGAATCCGATGACTCATGCAATCAGTGGTCAGGGCTGCAGAGACCGGAAACTCCTCACTATTCATGCGGTTTCTAAAATAACCGCCTTTTGAATCGGGCCCTTAATCTAACTGTCTAGTGAGAGCTTCTTGAGGTGTTGGTCGAAACTCTTCGCTATCAGCCCGTGTGCCGAAATGACTATCGGAATACTATTAAGAATATCGGTATTTTGTGTAATTTAAAAATTTTCATTATTTTTCAGTGAAATCTCTACAAAATGTTTGCCGAGATGCTATACTTCAGTATGTTAATGATGGATCCGTTAAGGCACTGCCATTGCCAAAGTGTTTGAAAGACTTTCTTCTCTCATAGGTATGGTGAATGTGATATTTTAATTTATGGTGACAATAACACTATTAATGTGGTACTTTATTTTTAAACTTGACAACTATTGTCGAAATTGTGAATTTAGTTTATATTCAAACATGCTGTGCACATGTTTAAAACATTGAAGTAGATATTTCAAAAGTTTTGTTTTTTGATAAAACATTGATTTAATATTAAAGGAAATGTAAGTCTTAAATGTAATATGACCTCAAAAGACAATTAGTATTTGAAATGTTTGATAAAATTATTTTAAAACATAATGTGCAGTGGCACTAAAAACAATCATGGTTAAAAAGTTATTCTATATGTTTATTATTATAAAGCACAAAAGTTTATTAATAATGATTATTATTAAATCCACTTATCCCTAAGGGTAAAGCTTCTTTGCTCTTCCAATAAAATATACTGTCTCTTTCTAAATATATATTGGATTTTATAAATGTAAGAATTATAGTGAGTTCCTAAATTTAATTTGAAAGTGTCCTATCCCATTTTAAAATTGTTATGAATTCAACCAAATAATGGAACTGTATATATTTATGTGAATGTAATATAATATGTAATAATCCTTATAATTAGAGATAATAATAGGATAATAGGATTTTATAAAAGGTAATACTTGATATAATTATTATAAAAGACATTAATGGAAATAATAGTTTCAAATGTAAACGAAATACAAAATGGAGGGAGATTAGAGATTATAATTTGGCATATTTGTATAAATAAATTCAATACTATTAATAAATAATAAAATAATCTATATGTAAAACTATAGCACTCATATCCAATGTATAAAAATAATCTAGATATACTAAAGGTTCATCATCATCATCACCAGCTCACTATACGTCCCCACCGAGGGGCTCGGAGCCAACCCTAATACGGGGTGACTAGGCCATAGTCAACCACGCTGGCCAAGTGCGGGTTGGTTGACTTCACACATATCTTTGAATTTCTTCGCCGATATGTGCAGGTTGCATCACGATGTTTTCCTTCTCCGTAAGAACGTCGGGTAAATTATGTACATATGAAAAATCGAAAATCACATTGGTACATAGCGGGATTCGAACCCAAGTCCTGTAGATTACAAGTCAAGTTTTGAAACCACTGAGCCACCGACGCTAAAGGTTGTCTATTCTAAATTCAACCATAATTCAACATCAAAAAGTTTTTATCCATATTAACTTAATATGCAATTTCCTTAGTGATACAGTTTTTGCTTTACATAATGTAAATGACATTAATATATTGAAGCACTAGTATGTAAAATGAATGTCCATAATTGCCTCTGATTGGCAGATAAAAAAGTTTACCATATTATGTAATTCACTACAGATATAAGATTATCACAATACTCCGTAGATTGTACGTAGATATTTTTGTGTAGACAAGAATTTTCTGGATGTTTGTAACAAAAGCAAATAATTTCGGATAGAGAAAGCCAATAGTAAAAAGAAATAACCAAATATGACGTGAGAAGAATAATTTAAGTATAGTTTGGAAGTAATAAGGCCAGTGAAATCGGTACCAGCATTAGAGTAGGGCGTGGTTGGGCGACCGCCCTGGGCGCCAGATATTACTCTCACATACTAAACCACCGTCCTCCCCCTAGTCATGGTAAAAAAGAGGGAAATATCAAACGACCGTTAAAATATCATCAAGGGCTTCTAAAGCTGGTACTGAGTGAGATGATATTAAAAAAATACGTTAAAAAAAGTCTTACAATGTTTTTTACTGTTACATCCATACTAAATATATGGTTATCTCTTATTTTTTTCATAGACAGTGAGAGGGACGGAGTTTCTTTTTTTATTTTTTTTAGCAGTGGAAAATTGTTTAATTGGAAAAAATGTTAAAGAAGTTTCTCTTATGTTCTTACTAGACTCGATTACAGGTTTCTTGGCTGAATGTACAGTGATTTTTTTTGCATCTATTATTTAGTTAGGTTATTGTTGCGCTATGTGATGTTTTTGATTTGTTATTATTGATCTAAATATGTAAATTGCTCGAGAGAAAACCATGCGAAGATTTATTTATATTCAATAAAATATTTTGCTTACGTTATTGTCTTATTTTATTTATAAACAAATAAATTACCTTTCTAATGGTGAAAGATGTTTTAAAATCTGCCCAGTAGTTTTTACGTGAATCAAATACGTACAAAAATACAAATCCTTTCTCTTTATAATATAAGTATAGATTAATTTCTTGATATAATAATTGTTAATTCCTATACCAGAACATTAGGCCAATTAGGCCATAATTTTAGTAATTCAATAACACTTATCTCAGTCCATGAAGTGACTACATCTACTACCATTAATTAAAGCAAGTGGAAAATGGTTTATGACGTCACAATGCCATGACCTCTAAGGTCATGACTTTAGTCAATTCATAATACCTCTTAGCAATATGATCGCGAGTTCGGCACGGCCATTATGCATAGCAATCGCGGCTACGCCAGTGCAAATACGAAAGTATAGCGAATATAAGAAGTTTACGAAGTTCATGATATATCACCAACTACTAGGTTCGATTAGATCTTTAAACTGACTTCCTCGTTACTGGTCCACTTTGATATTCGTCCTGATTTTGGTAAAATTAGGTATCTACAAAGGACGCATACCTAAAGACAAAATATGCTCTTTGTTTTTAAACTTTTCTTATTTAATTCTGTCAAAATGTTTGTGTCGGGGATTGAGGGATAAAATTATATTTCATTAATTTAAATAATAGGAATAAGTTAGATACAATAGTTTTATCTTGATAAAAGTAAGGTAAAGTCGATTCTTTTATATATTTAGTAAATTATCGATCAATTCAGTCTAGGAACTACTCTTATATCTAGGTTGCTCGAAGTTTCTAGAGATCTAGAGAACTTTTCAGGAAGAAAGAATGAAGGATAGATATGATGAATATTTAACGGCTATGAAGCGAGTACAACGCGAATCTGTATACAGGAACTCAGCGTCCGTCCATACGACGCCACGAGAGCGCCGCCGACAGAGCGATGGAAGAAAACAATCAACGTATAATTTTTAAATAATTATACTAGTGATAATTTATTCTAGACCAATGACCAACAATACGATGACCTTTTGGTAAAAATAGGTACCAGGACGACTTAGGGTATTTCAAGAAGCGAGCTTACAATTTCCTCAAAGACCTGCAACGCATTTGTAATTCCTCTGGTGTTGCGAATGTCTACGGGCGTCGTTGACCACCTCTGTGTTCCCTCCGCTCGTCTGTCCCCTTCTCTTATATAAAAAAAGGTACTCAGAACAAACATGCTATGTGTGTTTACACAGTACGAAGTGTTTAAATATGAAGCAGTAATGTTCATTCTTAGGTTTTTTACTTATTTTGCAGTCTATTAATAAATTTTTGCACATAGATCTTATGTGCCTATAAACATAGTATATTTGATATTCAGGAATTTAGACACGGAAAGTTTAAATGGTACGGAGCAAGCTAAACGCATCAGCACCATGGCGTCTTTCGTGCCCGATGAGATAGTTTACAAGCATTCTGACCTCTCCGTGAGGACGTATGAAACTGCGCTTATGTTTATTGATGTTTCCGGTAATTCATTACTTATTGAATTTTATAAAGAATAAAGTGGGTAGAGTGTACAAAATCCCAGTGAATGTAACGATAGTCACTTAAAACTTTACTGTGATATTATTTTAAGGATTTACAGATTTATGTGAAGCTTATACAAAAACTGGTCGTGGTGGACCGTCGAGATTGACGCAAGTTCTTAATTCATACATCGGAGCTATGGTACAAGAGATTCTGACGCATAACGGCGATATATTAAAGTTCTCTGGTGACGCTTTTCTATCGATGTGGAAGAAAACACCCAGTGGGAACATGCAAGATGTTGTTCATAACGCTATCGATTGCGGACTTCTGATACAAAAGAATTACGGCAGATATGTGACTGATGTTGGTGTAGCACTTAAAGGTTAGAATTTATAATACTTCTTAAGTTGCAGAAAAAGATGTCAGTAGCCAAATTGAATATAGTTGACGCTTACACTACTAAACTGAGATCACGTCGCCGGTTTAGTCAAAGCCTTATACAAAGGTTTTATATTCGGATATGGTTTATAAGACATCTTAAACTGTCTAGATTGACTTATCTATCCTGTACTACAACTGATTTCGCCGATTATTAACTCTAATATTTTGATATTCTCAGTGAAAATTGCAATATCAGCTGGGGTGTCTCATTTCTCCATCATCGGAGGTGGGGAGCTGTCGCTTGCACATTACGTGATCGTGGGCCAGCCCGTGTGGGATGTGAAGACCGCGGAGTATATGAGCTCAGCAGGCGACGTGCTTACAACCGCTAGTGCCTGGATATATGTCAATGAGGCTGAATACTGCACGCAGCCGTGTGGAGACGGCAGACATACAAAGGTATGTACAGTTGAAGACACTGACGGTGTGGTATCTCAAAAACTACAACGGCAATATTTTGAAACGAAACGCGGGACAAAAATCAATACAAAGCTTATAAATGTGTCTGTACGAAAAAAATCCGTGTTATATGGCTGGTTTCTTTTTATTATTATCCTAACGTTGGCACTACTCACTGCTATCTAATTAGTTATTTGTAGGAGGATGCGTAGTTTGTCTCCTTGGAATGAAAAAGACGTTTATTCGACTAATTAATGATATCGATTAGTAACTAACTAAAGAATGATATATTGTAGGTGCTCGGTATTGGTGCGACTTGGAAGCGGGTTGAGAAATTACATTCATTAATTGGAATAAGTTATGGTAAGATTGTATTTATGAATTAAATATGCTTGGTATTTGGTTAATATAATTCAGATATTTATTTAAAGAGGACACTTTCGAATATTCTGAGCCCAAACCTCGATCTGACGGTACCGCCGGTGTAAACTTGAGAGAGTTTTCATGTAAGTTTGCAATTTCCTTTTAAGTTTACTTTGACTTGAGATAATAAACTTTATAAATGCTTTTGGATTTAATTTATCTTTTAAGAGTCAAATCAAAAGATAAATGCTCAACTTCATTTAATGTATTTTTTATTTTACTGGCAGAAGTTTAATGCTAGCGTACGTTGCTACGTATAAGCTAATTTGCTCAACAAGAGACTGCATAACCACTTAAGTGGTAGCGTACCTTTTTATTCCAATTTAGTTGGAGTTAATTCTATAATCTTAAGTATGTTGTGGCAGTACGTCCAGCGGTGGTAGCCGCTATCAAAGGCTCGTGGGGGACGGCGCTGCGTCGCTTCATGCTGCGTCCGATCCTCCGCGCGGTCGACAATGACGAGCCGATGAATTTTCTCGCTGAAGTGAGACACGTGCTTATCGTCTTCATCAATATCATCACCAAGACAGTGACAGATGATATATTGATCAGTGTCGTGGATGCCGCGTATAGACGTGTTTGTGGGTTAGTGTCGAGGCACTCTTTATAGTTAGTGAGCATAAGAGCGGGCGCACACCTTGACTAAACTGACGCACAACTATTGTGCGATTGTCGATTGTTTTGTAGCGATTTCAACTTCGACAGTTGTGCGGGCGTCCTAAAGGTTCTTAAAACTCAAAAGCGCCTACCCATTGTCAGATTAAATTGCTTAGTCACTCACAGTTCTTGATAGCATTGTAAACGTATTTATGTAGTTTGAATACTTTTTATTTAGTTTACCAATTGTTATTTGTTTTCGAATGTTTATAGGGTGACAGCGGAGGCCGGTGGATTGGTCAATAAAGTATCGATGTTTGACAAGGACATGATGTTCCTCGTCGTCTTCGGTCTACGCGGACTCAAGCATGAGGACGAAGCCCGGAAGGCGCTCGAGTGCGCGCTTACGCTGAAAGAAAATCTTATGAACTCCAACATCATTAGCGTCAGTATTGGTGTTACATCTGGTTAGTTCGTGTTCACTTTAATGCATCTATACTAATATTAAAAAGAGGAAAGATTTGTATTTTTGTATGTATAAGTCAAAAACTACTGAGACGATTTCGAAAATGTATTCAACATTAAAAAGCTACGTATAATCAAGTAGTCTATTTTATAAATTATGTTTTATTTTCACGACGAAGAAGTGGCGAGCAACAGCTAGTATTTAATCATTTTGATAACTGGTAACCATATTCCGGGAAAATTAAACGTATTTCACCTTAGAACAAATAAAACAGTTTGGACTATCTAACAATCCAACGTTTCTTTATGCGCATCCGTAAGGATTACTCTTTTCTCAATCCAGTAAAAGTCTACAAATTTGTGTTATTAATACATTTTAACAATAATAGTAATCGTTAGGTTCAACTTACTGCGGAGTCGTGGGCCATGTTTTACGACGCGAATACACTGTTATAGGTTCGGCAGTCAATAAGGTAAGTGTTTTAACACGTTTGTATAAAGGTACAGTCGGCATTGTTCTCGGTGTGCTACTTACAAAAATGACACTCCTCTCCATCTCAATTAAACGATTAGGGTATTAATGTTTTCAAGACGTTAATCGTTAGAGGTCTTAGATTATTTAAGGTCGTTTCTTCTCTAGTTTCTTTTTAAATTTTATTTATACTTAATATTATGAAGAGGAAGAGTTTGTATTTTCGTACGTATTAAAATGACTCAAAAACTACTGGGCCGATATCAAAAATTGTTTCACCATTAGAAAGCTACGTTCTTGCAGAATGACACAAGCCATTTTCTTCACGTGGACGAAGTCATGTACAACAGCTAGTTAGTATTTTTCAATCATTGATTGTTCTAGGCTGCTAGATTAATGACCACTTATTTGGACAAAGTGACATGTGATAAAGAAACGTTTTTAAAGAGCAAATTGGACCATGATCATTTCAAATTGATGGAAGAGAAACCGCTGAAGGGATTTGTTAAACCAGGACCTATTTACGAATACGATAGACAACGGTAAGTAACAGCAATGACCATTTTACAATTATTACAATACTAGCTTTTTCCTGCGACCACGAGCGCGTGGAATTAAAAAAAAAGTAAGTAACCTGTGCGATCTTCCAGACTTTGTTCCACATTTATACCAAATTACATCGAAATTAGTTCAGTAGTTTAGGCTACAAATTTTAACTAACATACACCCATCCAAACCTTCGCGTTTATAATATTAGTAAGATTAAGTTTGAAATACCACAAATTACATACATTAAGTTAACTAGAGAGATATTTCTTAAGTACAGTTGTAAATTGTTTTGTTTAATATTTCATCAATTCAGTGGCCACTTCCTTTAATTGTCTAAAGAACATCGACATTATGCGATTAACAATTTTATTGGAGTTAAATCATTAAAAGGCCGTTTAACAATGTTTTTTGTGTCAAAAAAGTTTCGTCTTAATTTTATGTTGTTGAAGTTATCGATAAAAAAGTTGAACATACAGATTATGTATTTAGTCATCGTTGTTACCAGCCAGTGTCTTTACAAGTGTATTTCATATCTGTCACCGTCAAGTCCATTTTTTTTTTACAGTCGATCGGATCACCTCGGCTGTTGGAGGCACCCACTGCTGGGCCGCAATGAAGAGCTGCGTCTATACAAGATGACTCTACATAATGCTCTGGAGCAGCAGAATTACAAGTTCACCAGATTTCGGGACCATAAGTTTGGGATAGCCTTTATAGTAAGATTACAGTTGTTAAAAAAAATTGCATGAAATTTTGATAATAGGATGAAAATGTTTAGCATTACATTTTTAGTGCAGTTATTTCGAAGACACAGAATGATAATACAAATTTGTTTATTTTAATCCCCAGGGTCCAGAACAAGTAGGAAAAACAAGGCTTCTAGATGAATGTCTATACATTACTCCTAAGTTCGTACTTATTAATAGAATTTATTTAAAGGACTATGAAAAGGTAGTTCTTCTTTTATTATTTACGCAATAATGCAGTAGTAGAGTAGTAACTAGTAATCAGTCCTCTTTGGATTTGGCATTCTCCTTAAAATTTAAAAATAAATTAAATATGTAATTGTAACTGGTAATTTCTAGACGCCGTTTGGTTTAATGCGTAAAATTGTCGCTACAATTTTCTCAAGCAATATGAGACCAGCAAGAGAAAGCCGAGAAAATAGGATAAGACTGAGGTATCATCAAAACGCGAGAGCTTAACTTCGTACATAGTTCAATTGTTACCCTTTAATTTTTTTAATATTTCAGTGTTGATGTGACATCCTTACGCGCAGTAGAAATTTTTGCTGTGAACACAGTATTCGATTGCCGTTTTCCCTTGCCTGAGAAGTTTTCGTACTCCGGTGACTTTCTTGGCGTATATGATATAAAGAGGATTATTAAAGAAATATTCCTAAAGGTAAAACATTAAAAGAAACAATAATAAGCAATTAAAACAAATAATGTCTGGTATAAAATCTAGTAATAGTAATTATTTTAGAACTGTGTAGAAGGTACTATTTTCTAGAAAAATCTTTACATTTCCAGAACATTCCAAGTCTCCGTTTGATAGCCATCATGGAGGCGCAATACGCTGACGATGAGTCTTGGCGTGTGATACTTCTACTTCTTGATATTAAGAAAGTCTTCATTCTCTTTACTATAAGAAATACCGCTTTTACGTCAGGTATGAACAAATAATCTTGACTTCTAGTGTTATTCTGTAACATTTATAATTCTCTTTGAAGTCCTTTGATACTAAAATCAACGCCAGTTCAATGAAAGCGCAATATTTTGCCTGCTATCAATAAAGCTATCTTCTTGCTTGTGCTCAGCGGTGGCAAATGCGTGTTTGGAGAACGATATGATAGTGAAGTTGGAGATTTCTGGCATTGACCGTTGGTATCACGCTGCGCTGGTCTGCCAAATGTTAGATGTTCAAGCCATACCAGCGGATTTAGAAAAGTAAGCAGCACTTTATGAAGTACTAGCTGTTGCTCGCGAATTCGTCGGCGTGGAATTTTAATATAATTGTAAAAAGTAGCGTATCATTCAGTGGTTATGTAACTTTTTAATGATACAAGAATTGAAATCGGCCCTATATTTTCTGAGTTATTTCAATACATACAAAAATTAGATTAAATACGAATCTCTCCTTTTTCTATTGTTAGTACAGATAAGCTAAGATTCTAATTGCAATTTTTTAGTTTGTTACGTGGTTAAGCAGAAGTAATGTTAACATTGAGATATTCATCTCACCTTGTAGATTAACCTTGAAATATTAGAGATTGGCATAAATTATTCCTTTAACAACAGGATGATAGAAAGTGCCAGCAATGGTATGCCGGGCTGGATCCAAAATTTTGTGATATCTCTCGTGCAAAGTGGAGATCTTACGATAGCTACGGTGACACGTAGCGAGGCGCGCGAGTGCGGGGCGGTCATACCTTCGATGTCTTTGTTACAGCGACCAGATCATGACCTCTCCCTCTATGATGAATCGCTGGGAGCGCAGGTCAGTGTTTATTTGTTATCTGTTTTAAATTTGGAATGTTGACCTTTTTTTAAATTGTATATTTTGAACAGGCCAGCATTTACAGTTTGAATTTAAGTTTTGGGAATAAACAAGAGCAGATGCAGGAAACCGATGTGATACAAATGGCGGTTCTCGCGGATTCCTATACGTTTGAAGATATAAAAGGCGACGTTAAAATGGACGGTAATTAATTAATGTTTATTATATTTTTATGAACTGTTTGCTAAGTCTACTGGATAAGATTAGCATGTAATATACACTTGTTAATCTACGTTCCTTAGTGGATTATAAAAGAAAGAGAGAAACGTAAACTAACTCAATGTCTCAAAATGTTTGACTTGATTGATGATTACTTTTCAAGTTCTCATTCTGAAGACGTACGACTCGTTAAGTCCATTCGAGAAGATGGTGTTAAAGTGCAGCTCTGTGCTGGGCGAGGTGTTCTCCCGGCGCGTGCTGCACCACTTGCTGCAGACAGACGACCAAAGGAAGGTCGCACTGGGTACGTAGACACGGAAAAAGGAAGTCTAGTAATGAGAATGATGGCGAGAAATGAAACTATTGGTTAGAGGGTCTGGATTATTTAATAGACGAAATAGAAATCAGTTCTCAACAAAATACATGCGAAAAATATTTCGTAATCAATTTGATATGTAGAGAAGACTACGCTATGTTATTCTGATATTGAAAAATAATCGAGAGTCTTAAAATTTAAACATAATCGTGGAATTTTGCGGTGTTGTTGTAATGGAGAAGACGATGCGATGAAGATGCAGTTTGTTAATATGTTTGCGAAAAGACGGTCAGTGGTACAAGACTGTTTTTTTTTATACCGTCCGTCGTTTTCGTCTCACTGCTATCTGATTGGTTAATTGTAAGAAAGGCGGAGTTTGTCTCGTTGCAAGGAAAAGGTATTTTTTCTGTTATGGCACACCGCCGATTACCGCGACTGTACATAGTTAAATATGTCTACATTTCAAGATGTGATTTTGTAACGTTTTTTTCGTTAAGCTAGCGCTAGCCTAACAAATAGCTGTTTATTCTACGTAATATATACAAACTTAAATTAACATTAAAATGACGATGTATTTTTTATAAAAGCTGTGGCCAAGTTGTTCTCAATCCGTGTACTGGAGTGTGAGGGAGGTGACTTCACGAGAGACAGCTCTCTAGTGCTGGTGCATCCAGCGCCGGTGCCTAACGACTGCAAAGCGCCCTACTGCCGCTGTTTGGGCATCAGACCTCCACGTATGTATAAAGGGGCTGTTAAAATGAAATATCAAGCTATGAGACTGACAATTTAATGTAAAGACAATAGTCGTACTCAGAGCGTACACCTGAAACTAAACTATCGCACAACTATTCTCGATTTGATTCCTATGAACCTATATAGGCGTTACTCGATTTTTAGTTGTGCAACTAAACAATTGAATTGGCTGTGAAACAATCGTCAATCGCATACGATTTCTGCGATATAGTTTAATCAAATAATGGAGTCACTTTTATAATTTTTATTTAAATGACTAAAGTTAGCATATATTTTTCTCTTTCCAGCCAATTGCAAAGATCTGCCAATGTACGCTTTCTGCGGATATATGAAATTTAAGCATATATTGTTTCGGACAACGACTTATGAATTGCTCACTGAAAATCAAAAGGTATATAGTTGCAATTTTTTTAAACATATTTATTTACCTTCTCTTGCTAATATTGTTTTATGATTTCACAGCGTAATATGCACACAAGAGCGTTACTGTACTTAGAACGGTATACAAGACGGTGTGTTGCCTGCGGTGGCGGATGTTTTGTCAAATTTTTAGGACTTAGATGCAATGACGTAAGCTATTTTAGTTGTCATCGTTATATTCATAATCATCAATCATCATCAGTAGTTAGTTCTTTCTTCTATAATGTTATAATATAGAAATGTGTGTTTTAAGACACTATTTCTTAACAATTTCACTTTTTAAAAAGATCAACATGATATAATCCGGTAGTATCAAAAGTATAACATTTGTAGTTCTTTCCCTTCAGGGCCTAATCCGCGAGAGTGATGAATTAAAACGCGTGCGAGAACAGATATCTGGCTTCAGCGCGGAGACTAAAACAGCAGACGAGCAGTATACGCATCCCTCTTTCGCATTGCAGCCGTCTATGGAATTAACGGTATGATTTTCACTATATTAACCTTCGCCCGCGACTCCGTCCGCGTGGAAATTAAAAATACAAATAAGCCTATATGTTCTTTCAGACTATCCTATATATGGCAAATTTCTTAGAGATTCGTTGAGCAGTTTAGGATACAAACTCTAACAAATATTCATCCATCCATCTAAACTTTGGCATTTATAATATTAGTAAGATAATTGCTCTCAAAGACGTTTATATAATTCCTTATGTCCTGCGTTAAATGATTTTAAGTTACTTTTTCTAATTAGCCAACGAGATGAATTGTTCTTTCAACATTCTAGATGAATGTCCGAAGGAATACAAATACAACGATATTAACGGAATCTGAAGGTAAAAAAAAAAGTTTTTTTTTAATATTCTATATAATTATATTAAATACTTTAATATGTGTTTTAGGTTTAGCAGAAAACGAGAGGAGAATCCGTCGCTTGACAGGAGAGTATGGTGGGAGTAGAGAGGGTCGGCCGTTCTTTTCTTATGATTTCGGCACTTGCGAGTGTCTGCCTATTCTTCTATCCGCATACTGTCAGGCTGTAGACCACTGCTTCGGTGCTGGTAATTATGAATAATCTTTAAATAAGGTGCCCATGCCAAATTCTGCTTCTGTACTCTAACTGCTACGCTACTGTAGGCTAACTTCTATTACAAATTTCAGAGGAATTTGAGAAGTTGTTTGAAGCTTACTTAGAATACACTGATTTAAGTGTCATCAATTTGAATATGCCACAAGCGATACGCTTGCTATTTGAAGTGGAAACCTTAATTAATGTAAGATTTTATTAACTAACTGTTGCTCGCGACTTCGTTCACGTGGAATTATAAAATAATCAAAAATATATATTAGGTACTTAGTGATACCATAGATTTTTTATGGTGAAAGAATTTTTGAAATCAACAAAGTCGTTTTTTTAGTTATACCAATACATACAAAAATCCAAAAATACGAATCTTTTCTCTTTATAATAATAGTATAGATGTAGATTAGAAAGCCTTTTTTAATATGTTTGTATTATTAATTTATAACATTAAAAGTTTTCGATGGATTTACAGTCTGAGAAATTTCGCACAAAAAACAAATGTGATCTTGAATGGATGAATGACTACCGACTGGGGCGCATCCTGTCGCACCGCGGGGCTTGCCTCTTGGAGTCAGGTGACCTGGACGAAGCTAAGAAACTCCTACTGGAAGCATTGAAACTCTTCTCAGATCCTTTCCCTTCATCTAAGTAAGATTTTTGAATAGTACTTGTGTAGTTTCTTGTGAATATTGCTTAGTTTACAATGAAGTCAGAGGTTTAATTGCTTTTCACATTTTTTTTGAACGCCTGAGAGGAGCTAACGCTGAGAGCCCGCTTTAACATCTTCGCACTGTAGGGCCAGCTCGCCCGGTGTAATACCACGACCACACAGAAGACAGGCGTCAATTGGAAGCAATTCCGCGTACAGTCATATGAGTTCGGTGCCGGAGGAGCAACTTTAGTCCCTTTTCCTTCCCAACAGGTAGGCAACGCATCCGCTAATGCAAATGTCTATAGGCAGCGGTCTCTTTGCCGGTCTGGCGAATTTAGGCAGCCGCTTGTTCGTTTTCCACATTATGATATAAAAAAAGATTATATATTGTTTTGTTTATTAAAGTCCATTTCATTGCGATCGTTTGTAGCCTTAGTATTTGCGTTGTAGAATTCGAGTCTAACCTAAATTGGACGTGGTGAGGTCTTACTCAACCACGCTGACCTAATTCATATAGGTTCACGCCGCCGTGTACAATTAATTATGCCTTGTATCTATATAATTATGTAATACACAGACATGCAACGCGACTGCGTCATATATGCGTCTCATTCAGCCAGCTTATGGCATTTTATATCGCGCCTCAATGCTACGTTGGGCGGGACCGAGGGGTATCGGGACAGTTCTACGAGTGTATAGCATGGACACTCATCAGCTTGCATAAAGTCTTTTGTGTTAGTACATTTCAATTACTATACATTACGATCTGGTGGTACATTATTTTTACTTAAACGTGATAAACTTAAACTGATTGATTTTTTTCTTTAAAAGGTCATACCGACAGTAAAACAGTACATTCAATTAAGAGTACATATAGTTAAGAGTACATTCTTCTTATGTAATACCCTAACTTAGATCATCGGCTGGACATCCACTTGAATGACTCTTCTTTATTCCAGGAATCTAAAGAAAAATCCAATGCACTTTTGGCTGCAAAGTGGGCCATGAATTACGCTCTACGCACCGACTCAAATTTCAGACTGCTCTGTATGTGTTATGGGAATATGATAACTATTTGTGCTCAGGAACGAGATGTACGTAAAAGTCACGTTTATTTATTTACGGACGGTAAATAAGAAACAAGAGGCCCAACAGTTTCAGTTCAGTTTCAGTTCTCAAGACTTGTTGGCTTTGTGGTAACAATGTTTCTAATTACGCTTTATTTAAAAAAATGTCATAAATCAGTTATATTTTAGTTTTCAAAATGCGAAATGTTGGAGCAACGGTCAATGGATATATGCAATCGGAAGATTGGAAAAATCGATGTAACGGAAGTTCAAGCCGCGGGATATCTTTACACAAATATATTCCTATTTCGGTTTGTAATTATCTTTAAAATGTAGAATAATAGCATAAGAGAGCGGCTTTAGATATTAAAAATGGACATTTACTACTTAACTATTATATATGTACAGTCGCGGAAATCCTCGGTGTTATACTTGCATAAAAATTGCCTTGTTACTTCGAGACAAACTCCGCCTCTTCAGAGAAACAACTAATTCTGTAGCAGTCAGTAGCGCAAACGAGATAATAATAAAAATCAATTAACTGTATACCACGATTTTTTTTCATACAGACACATTTAAACGCAGCGCCCTATTTGTTATTGTTCCGCGTTGTCGTCTCAATTCGTACAAAATGTTCAAACGACTAGCTTTTGAGTTTGACCACCACCAGATTCCAAGACTGTACATACAAAATCCCGTAAGATTATTCTAGTCGGGCATTATTTGTCTAGCGTGGAAAGTGGCAAGCGAGCGGAGAGTATAGAGCTGGGCCTGGAGGTGATGCGCATGATGAGCAGCATCACGGAGCTGAGGACGCGCCAGCTACTGGTGCTCTGGATCCTGAAGCTGATGCTCGCGGAGACCAGGGTGCACGACATGGTCGCCATCATGCGCGAGTTCTTCTATATGACAGACCATTATGATTTGAGTTGTGAGTAGTTTAAATACTTAGAACTGACTGGCTCGTTTTCGCGGGCGTGAGTTAAAAAAATATAGCCTATTTTAATGATAACCTAACTTTTTAATGGTAAAATATTTTTTGAAATCAGTCCAGTACTTTTTGAGTTATTTCAATAAAAATATGAAAATAAAAATCCTTCCTCTTTATAATATTAGTATAGACTACGACTGAACGAAATGTTCTCAAGATTGGTTAAAGGTTTTTTTATTTAGTATACTAACTCTAAATGTATTATTAATACTTATTTCAGCCGAAACCTGGTACTATTATTATGCGATGGTTATCTTGTTGGACACAGGACATAGTGTGGAATCGTATAAGGGTTGTGAAAGATTCTATTTGAAGAAAGGCGACGCCATACTTCGGTCAAAAACGTCTGAAGCTGCCTGGAATTTCTTCGTTTGCATGTGGCTTGTGTTAGTTTTATTTGACTTGGGGCTTACTCCACCGTGGATCCATTACCGAAACACATGTACAAAAACGTAGCGTTATCTCTGTTTTTTCAAAGAAGATAAGAAGGATGGCGATGTTTTTGTGTAGTCGTTTCGTTACTAAACACTCACGATAATCCTTAACATGCCTTTTAGGTTTTTGTCTTATTGTTTCTAGCACTATACGTGTGGGTATTTGGGAGAAATCAATAATGTGGGAAGATAAGATAAAGCAATTAGTTACAATGAAGTATGAAAATCATGAATTCTGCGCCATGATCTTGGTGCGATTGATTGAAGGACTGCTCATAAGTATGGTGCAAGAGGTATGGTAGCTTTCATATGTTATGGCGGTACTTTTAAAATATAACGGACTTTTTATTTTTAGGCAATGTAGGTCTTTCAATATTTTAATATTTTCTTTTTAGATAGACAGTAGAAATGTAAGAAAAATCCAAATGTACGCGAAACTTGTAAAATCTCTTTTCAGAGATTTAAACGGTGCTTGTAAACAAGCTCGCATGTATCAACCAAGGTGGGTATTACGTGTAATGGAGAGACAATTTAGATTTATAGATATTTGGTCTAATGATTTACTATTAAAACTGATTTTATTTCAGATATTACTTGCTGTTAGCCTACTATAATTGCATAAGTGATAAAAAGTCGCGGGCTTTCAGTAAGCTTAGTAAGGCAACACAGCTCTGTAAGCAACATCAAAATAATGCTCTCCTTATTTGGATTGAACATACGAGGAACGTTAGTATGAGAAAAATATGTAATTAATTATTCTTTACAGTTTTATTATCTGTTCTCAAAGAAATATAATTTGTTTCAGCATTGGAATGGGACATTAAAACCAATATTGGTAAATTACTGGATGGAACATATTAATGTAGACCATCAAATGGGCTATCGTGAATTGGATACTGCAAAAGGCGATCAAATAATACCATACACTTTACCGTTACCAAAAGACATGCCAAATTATAATAACTTCGATAATTAAATATAAAATTTTATTAAGCATTAACTGTTAGACAAATAAAGTTATAACTTATTTGTATTTTGTATATATTTATTTTTCTTTTCTGTACGAAATAGCGATATTGCGTTAACGTAAATCTGCTATATATATTATTTAAATAAAAACGATGCAAAATATGAAATTCATAGCAAGGAATGCAAACAATTCGTATAAAAATATACAGAGTTGAGAAATATTATACAAATGGAGTGAATGTAACGACTAGATAATTTGTATCAACGAATGTTTTATTTGAAACCCTTGAAAAGAGAAAACTTGTTTAATTTTGTGTTTGTAAAGTACTCCTCTTTAACAATAAATATTTTTAAAAACCTAGCAACACTGATTTGATTACACAGACAACATTGAAATCGAATGTCAAATGTCATAATAAAATAACCTAAAAGCCCTCTTTCCATTATCTTTTATTTCGATTTCTTATAAATTGAGAGGAATTTAGAAATCATCTGAGAAATAAGTTAAATACTCTTTAAGATGTCAGCCGTGAAAAGAGTCCAGGTAAATTTCACAGAAAGAAAGAGAATCTCAACAAGATACTTCATCTTTTGGTTAGTTTTTCTTCTGTAAACTTAAAAATAACTCTTGTTTCAGCAATGGGCTACTTTCGCTCGTACATGGCATATTTTTGATTGTAAATGGCAAGATCCTTACGAATCAGCGGGTCTTATTAAGAAATATTTGATGGGATTACACAAACCTATATATCATCCAATGAACGACTGTGGCGATGTTGTTGTCTGCATAAACAGTAGAGAGATTGCGTTAAGAGGCGACGATTGGAGACAGCGAGCTTATTTTCACCACACTGGATACCCTGGTGGAGCAACATGGACCTTAGCTTGGGAGCTGCATAATAAAGATCCCACAATGGTAAGATTTTACAAATATTATAAGTGTAACATACCTATAAGAATATGGTATGATCATTACCAGTCTCATAGTGCTGTTTTATTGTATAATTTCCTACTTTGATACCTTTTATACCACCTGAATCTCACAAAATCGCAAAGCAACTGCCCGTGGAAGTCCACAATCGTGAATGCACAACTACCCTTACTGAACAGAGGAGGAAATACACAAACATAAGACTTACTAGCTCTTGAGTGCAACTCTATCTACTCATAATTAAAAAAGAAAAACTGTCAATGTCCAGTGTCTTCCAAAGTATGTTCTACATTTATTTCAATTTCAACAAGATTTCTTTTGATTTAAGAAATTATTCTGAAAAACTAACTAAACTTTTGAAATTAGAGTATTAGTAATATTGTATGTAATTTAGAATATTCCATTATTCTTCTTTCTCGGTTGATAGTAAACAAAATCTACATGCACTTGGCAAAGTGATACTTAAATTGTAATTTAGAATGTTATCAGTATTTTGCTTCTTATCTAAGTTTTGATAATTAATTTTGTTTTTGTTATTGTCTTTCAGATTATCAAAAAGGCTGTATACAGATCAATGAAAGGGAACCTGCAGAGGCGACACACGATGGAGCGATTACTAATCTACCCTGGAGAAACTATCCCTGATGATGTTAAGCAAAATATTACTAACCAAATCCGTCAAATACGACTTGTACCAACCAGATTAGATCACATACCAGAAGAAGAAGTTCAGAAATATCCTAAAGTAATGGAATTTCCTGAGGATTATGTGCTTAAATAAGAACAAGATAAGTTATTTGTGCAGATTTTTATGTAGATTATTTTATTGTGTGAATGTAGATAGCTGTTGTATTAAATTGTCTAACATTTACTTGTTTATCTTAATTAATTATGCTCCATATCAATTAATATAATGATAATAAGTGATTGTTTTTTTCTACCAAACAAGTAATTGGCACTACTTTATTTGCCACTATGATGACTTCTCATCTCTTAGTATTTCACGTTTTTCATGTGATCATTTCAGGTTTAGTAAGGAATAGTCTAAAATAAAGTATATGGTGAAAAACATTCCCATTATGGTCTCTAATATAATGTGTATCATCCATCTAGGACCAAAAATGTCTAGCATGAAGAATCAGGATATGTACAGGAATAGATTACATAGTTTACTGTAGTAAATGATCCTCAGATCTTTTATTTTGGTAAAAAAGCTTGAAAAAAAATTAAAAACGATAATAAAAAATTACAAAATCATAATTTAATTTCATAGCTATCATCAAATGATAGTGTCACAAGATGTTATTTTGCTAAACATTGCGGAATTAGCGAAGCATAGGGTTGTCGTAAATCTTGCCGGGGTAGTGTACGTTGTAAAAATCTTCGGGGACATCGACATTGATGGTCTCCAATTCTGGAGCTGCGATGGGTTCAAAAACGTGTCCGATTAAAATAATATCAGCTGCGCCGGCTTCTAAGATTTCATTCATTGGGGAATTAACGAAGTTAATTGAGGTACCATCGTCATGTGCTTCCTCGTTTAGAGGCATACCAGCAAACGCGGATATCGTGCCGTCCTCGGCGGCTGTCTCTACGTTGTCGACGAAATGAACTGCGCTTCCATCATCAGCCTGTTCAATAGGAGAGTCGACGAAGTTAACGGCAATACCATTGTCTGCGAACCGAGCCATATTTGAATCGTCAATGTTTGATTCCACTGGCGAGTCGACGAAATCGATAGCTACGCCATCGTTGGCGTCTTCGTTGGTCGGTGCGTCAACAAATCGAACAATGTTGTCATCTTCACCGATTTCTTCAAAGTTGCCAGCTGAGCGAATGACATGGCCATTATCTATGTCTTCTTGTGGTGAATCAACGAAGTGAACAGCGCTACCATCATCCTCGTTCAATGGGGAATCGACAAAGTGTACGGCGGTGGCGGAGTCTTGGCTCAGGTCGGCATCCTGTGGCGCGAACAGACTCCTGAAGTCGAAGGTGGGTGCGTCCGGGGCCGGCAGGGCATATGCCACTGACAATAGCGCAATCGCAATGATTACTCGCATTGTAACTGTAACCAAAAATTGAGTCCTTTTAACTGCCGTATTAACACAATTATTATGTAGATCACTTTTAAAGTCAGGATTAAAAAAAAATACACTTGTAATAAGGGAAATTATGTGGGATGTAGAGAAGTATGTTTAGTTTTCATTTAATGAGTTTAAAATATCTACGTAAAATGTAACTCCTTTATTGAAATTATAAAAAAATTGGCTCGCATTGGTAGGTAAGTAATTATTACTGGATTATAAAAAAAAATTTCTACTATTGAATGAAATAATATATAAGTACTTACCTGAGAGTTTTATTGTACAACAAATCACAAATGATAAGTTTTCCTCTTATATAGGTAATCAATGTATAATTATCGTCCGCAATAATTGATAGTAGCCACTTATCACACAAACTTGATTTGTCCACGTACGTTTTGATTTGGTTTTAAATCCTAATATTTTTATACACTATTATTGTGTAATTACAAATTGTAGTTTTTGTCGTCTTGTTTTGCGTTATATTTGTAATCACAAAATTGTTCCATGTCGCGAAGTTTCAATGGAATAGCATTAAACGCATATTTCATTTCTTTTAATAAATGTAACTACCGTTGACTATAAAAAATACTATATCAATTAACTGTTAAACCCGCCTTGGTTGTTACAAAGGGTTGTTTTCATAACGTCGGCATTGTATGTTTTTAAAGAGAAATAATACATCAATAACAGCTTTGGTTTGTTTTTAAAATTTCAATGATTCATTATGCTTAAATAAAATAATACCTAATACGTATTCACTCTTCTTAAAACTCTTATATTGTTAGGACTGAATGAGGAGCGTATCGTTTAATATGAATATTATGTTTATTTCGTGATTATTAATGCCCATAATATGCACAAAACTGGAGGAAACGGAGATACGTTACTCTTAGAAATACCCTATTAGAGTGGTCAGCATCTTACGCCACACAAGTGTGTCCGCACGACATTTCAACGCAAGGCGAGACTGTCGCAAGTAATTAAAAGGCATTGCCCGGTATTTCATAAGATAATTGTGTTGTGGAACGGTCGGTCCTCGGCGGTATTTCCAAACCAATACGACTAAGGGTCCTCCAAGAAGCGAGATCATTTCCTCAAAGGCCGGCAACGCATCTGTAGTTCCTTTGGTGTTGCGGATGTCCATAGATGTCGGTGATCACTTCGGTGTTCCCGCCGCTCGTTTGCCTCTTTTTACTATAGAAAAAGAAAAGGCAAATTAGCCGGGAAACAAAAGTTTATGGAATCTCATGGACATCAGAAACACCAGAAGAACTACGGACGCGTTGTCTTCGAGAAAGATATCCTAGCTTGTTGAAGGACTCGAATATTCTACGTTCTACCGGTTTGAAATACTGCGTCTTATCCGTTAATTGGTTAAAATATCGTACGAAGACATGTCACAGTAAAACGTATCGAAAACGCAACGCAAAACACTTATGTGGCCTCTCTTTTAAGTAAAGTTTAAAAATAATTCCGCCACACATTAAAATCCCGCGGTAGGGGCATTGCTAACCGATAACCATAAAAGAATAACAATAAATACTTTATTGCTTGAAATATATTGAGAAACAATGAAAAACCTAGAATAAACGCAGACTAGTTTACATACACGCGACCTTATACAAACATGATTAATGTGGTTATATGACGCATTTAGATATGTCTGAATAGCTCTGTGAAACTTCCGTTTTATTTTTATAGTACTTGGTAAATTCCATATCCGTTTAGTTTTGATAAGATTACTGTCGCCTTTTATGTTAACAAAGTTTGACTCAATGTGATGTTATAGTTAATATGAGCAGTGATAGGATTTAGTTATGGTAGTTTCACTTTTGTAGAGGACAGAACAAGACCATGTGTCTATTAACAATGATCTAGACTAGTTCTTGGGGACAGCTAACATTATTGTAGTCTTTACTGCTTTCTATATTTTTAACCGGCTTCCCAAAAGGAGGGTCCTATTCGTCTGTACGTTTTTTTATGCTGTTGAGCAGCTCCGCCTGCATTTGCGCAGCCCATTGCTAGGACAATCAGGAAGTATAAAAGTTTAGATTTTTAAAAAACTTATAGGACACCCTGTTCCATAATTTTATCAACAGTCTTCCCGAAAGGAGTTTATCTTCGTTCCTGGTGGGGATTTTGCTAATTTCTATACGAAAAGTAGTACTTGCAGGTGGATCCAATTTTTTTAGTTACTTTATGTGGTTAAAAACTCATACGTAGATTTAATTTTTTTTCTTCAATTACTATTTTGCTATGACGTCACATTGTTTTTATCCATAAAATTTCGTATAATTGTTTATCGTCTGTAAGACGTGCCTAATTACTGATAATTTATTTAAACTATGTGAATCACACATTTGTGTCGAAACAACTCAAGACAGAAGGTATTTAATGCGGCCCGCTTCATCCTCTTGCGGACCGCTGTTATGTGAAGTGTTAAGGTTATAAAGAAAACGCAGAATATTCATGTAATAATTATAATGGGAATAAAGTATACTTTCTATAATAAACCAACGTTATTTATCACTTATATAAACTCTTTATACCGAATTACCACTAAATATATTTGGCAATATAAAAAATAATGAATACATTAGACTCGAGATTTTTAAATCGTACTTAACTACGATATAAAGTAAATATGTTACAGCCAGAGTAATTTTTTATTTACTTTTGATGTGACTACATTTTTATATAAACAATAATACACTTTGCAATCCACTTGCCCTCTTTTACAATGTGTATAATAACAGACAGATAATCCTTAGATATAGTAATCTTATCAATTTTGAATTATTAATTTAGCAATACTTACTTTTTTAAATGCACTAACGTATACTAATAAAAATTTAGACAACTTCATTTAAAAAAATAAAAACTATTTTAACGTTTTTTTCATCAATTTTAATATGGATTAGTAATGTTTTATATTCTATTCTATTTTTGATTTAGTTTATGATGCAAACTGTAAAAAAAATGCGTTTTTTCCTTTTTTCAATGTTATTGAACTTTTGTAGAAAATAAGAATCGATAGTACAATATGATAAAATGTACAAGTTGATAAAATTCTACTAATTAGATAATCACTGTTTTATATTCTTTGATTACAATTAAAATTATAACTGGATTCATTTTTTATCTTAATATTTATATGAATATAAGTCCTTTAATCTCAAATTAAATCAATTTAAATTAATTCGGATTGTAAATAATAATTCTAATACTAGACGTAATAAGCTATTTTACGAATATATTGCATTTTATTTGCGGGTTACAAAATCGTATGCAATATTTTTAACTTCAATAGTGGCCAAAAACTATTTTTAATCTGTAAAAGCCTCAATAATAATGAGATCCTAATTCAGTTCTTTTGCCAATTTTATAAAAACCATAAAATCACAATTTTAGGAATATGTAATATCACATAAAAAATAATGTTAGTGTAGAAGTAAGAATTCTCTGACTGTAACAATATTTGACAACATACATGACATATATTTAATAAAATAAGAATATAAGAATTATTTTTATAAAACAATCAGCTTAAAATATATAACGTAACAAAATCTCACCCTAATCTTAAAAATAAGCTAAGCGAATAATCGAATAGTAAATAATGATTTTCAAACCGCAAGCAATTTTTTACTAAACCTTATGTACAAAATATACTTAAATTCACTGATACATTTAAGAAAAACAATACCATATTTTAAACACATAAACTAAAAAAAATCGTAATTTACAAGCAAAAGGGCCTGTCCCACCATATTGTAAATTATGTGATAACAATCGAACGCGTAAAATATGTGATGAAAATATCGGATTTTGTTTCCTCTGACAGTGACGTCATTTTTACGTTATCTAGCCCGTTTTTTTTTATAATACAAGGTGGCAAACGAGCAAGCAGCCACCTGAATCCACCGAAATGGAAAGTGACCCCCGCCCATAGACATCCACAATTGCAGATGCGTTGTCTATCATTAATTGACGGAGGAGATGCACATAAAGAGGATTCTTCTCCCTATGCTTCTCCCCCACCGTCAAATCTACTTTTTCTTCCCATCCTTTCCTCTTAAGAAAAGGGTGGAAAGGGACTAAAATTAGGCATTCGCTATCAGCCAGTGGTGGGACAGGCCCTTAGACTAACACTTTTAATATAATAAAGCTTTCTTTAAATGTGAAATTGCTAATTTTTAAAAAATAAAATTTAATTAGTATGAAAACAGCATATAATAAGGAATGTGTAGAGAGTAAAAAGTTCAACTTTATACGATTTGCATCGAAAAAGTTAAAACTGTTAAATTATCTAAGTCGTTTAAATTATGTATTTAAACCATAATACACGATAAGGTTTAAAATAGCTGAAAAAATAGACTTAATGCCCCGTTTACAGTATTCCAGCGCTGGTTCGATCGCTGGACTGGAATGTAAACTGGACATAATTGGTTCTTTATGGACGATTGTAAATGATACATAGTATTAGCTAATTTAAACATGAAAAACTCTCAGCCTTACAAATAAACGCGGAATAAAGTTAAACTTAGGAATAACTTGAGTATAAGCAAATATTATTACAAACTTTATTATACTCAGTTAATTCTTAAGTTAAACTTTATACACTGGTTATTTTTAAAGCTGTTTATATACATTTAGATTACTTCCATATACATTTATCTAAAGATAACATATATTTAAATATCTGACTATTTTACGTCTAAATTACTTCAATACAAAAGATTAAGAGTTTTCAACAATATTAACCAATAAATATATATACGCAAGACATTTTCGGGACATTTAACCTCAAAATTTATTGTATTCCTTTTATTTTAAATCTCTTTAAAGACCTATCTACGCATTATATTGCTTTAAATACAAATTTTAATGAAATTTAACTAGGTATCGACTATCTAAATACCATTTACAATGTGCCATGCAAAGATATTCAAAAACTATATAGAGTGGGCATAGTTGACACTTGAAACATTTTTCACATAATCTCACTAACACTATTGATTTTGTAACAATGATTAGTTTATTTTACAACACAAGATGGAGCCTTTTATAAAATACTAGCTTTTGCCCGCGACTCCGTCCGTGCGGAATTAAAAAAAAAAAATAGTTTGTGTTCTTGCAAACTATCGTCCACATTTCCAAATTTAATCGAAATCCGTTCAGCTGTTTAGTCTTCAAGTTCTAAGAAAAATCCATCCATCTAAACTTTAGCATTTATAATATTAAGTATAAGTATGATTTTATTAAATTTTATCATGGACATGAGGTTGCACTAAACTTAACAAAATAGTAAGTACCTTTCAGAGAAAGTACCAGTGAAAAAAATTATTATGCCTCGTCTATATATTTTTTAAATGTCTTTGGTGTTGTGATGCAATGTAGCACTAATGTTGTGTTAAGGTCGTTTCTGTCGCAGTTGTGGGATGTGCTCACCCCTCATTTGATAGCGCGCGCCTCCGGCAGGAACGCGTCCCAGTAACGGATAGACTGCAAAAAGAAAACATTATTAAGTTCACACTGCATTAAATTCACAGAAATGTGTTTTTTACTAGTAATTGTAAAGAAAATAACGATTTACCGATAGCGCGTAATAGTCCTTCGAGCCGGATTTTATGTGACTTAAGTTTCTATTTGATTTAATATTTGAAATTAAACATAACAAAAGGCCATTGGCATCGCCGAGCTATAATCTAGGCTAAGTCTCGGTACACCTTCATTAATTATGATACAAGCTTTTATCCGCGACTTCGTCCGCATGGAAGTAAAAAAAAAGTAGGTAGTCTGTTGTTCCAGACTATCCTCTATGACAAATTTCGAGATCCGTTCAGCAGTTTAGGCTACAAACTAACAAACGTCTATCCAAACTTTCAAATATATGTCCCAATAAGAACTTAAGTCATAATTAGAACACTAGCGCCGCCAAGCGACTTTCGAGAGAACTTAGATCATTCTAGAAATAGGTATCGTTGCGAGAACATTGTTTGAACGATATGAGCTTGGTAGATCGACGATATCCTGACTGAGGAGCATTGTGAATGTATTTCTGGAATCCGCCTTTACCCATGACCGCCCATACATGGTGTCATAATTCTGATTTCGTGCTGACTTAATCAGACATATATATTAATAAGATAGTATAAACAAGTGAATAGAGTAAGGTGTTGGCGATGCAACATGTTGCGAGACATGTTGGGGCAGTGCGGAGACGCGACCTGCGCCTGGTGCTGCATGTGCTGGTGGAGGTGGCGCAGCACGGTGTCGCGCAGCTCGGCCACGCGCGTCTCCTCCCAGCGCTCCAGCTCCTTCTTGATCACGCGAGAGATCGTGTCGAACTCCTGCTGACCTCGTTCAACTTTCGATTCCCACTGTGCATATAAAAAAAAGTTAAGACCATTTAAAAAAATAAAAAAAATAAGCCTTTATTGCTGTTCTTAAATTAAGGTAATATTTTAAATAAACAATTACATGCTATCTTACATTTAGGGAGATTCCATGTGACAATCATAACGATAAACTAAATGAAACCAAAGCTTAAGTTAAACAAAAATTAAATATTAAAAACAAAAAGTAAAAAAAGGAATTAATTATTATAAACATAAAAATGATTGTCCACTAATTTTCTAATCTATATTCTGACGAATTAAAAAAAAATGACTAGTTATAAAATGTATTTTTTCGGCTTTTACTTTAGTTAATAGTAAAAATAACTTTTATCTATCTATACTAATATAAAGGAAATATTCGTATTTTTGAGTTAATTCAAAAACTACTGAGCCGATTTCAAAAGATTCTTTAATTTATTCCATGTTGAACGGAGACAAGAGCAACAGCTTTGTAAGTTACTGCAGTTAGTTATTATTAGCATAAACTCTTGTAATTTTTAGTTATTGTTCAATGCAAAATACAACCTCTTTGGCTGCAGTATGTATACAGCCAAAGAGGTTGCACACTGGCCACTGACACTTTTACGTGGTTTGTGGAAAAAAGATAAAAAAAAAACAAGCGAATCAAAAGAGGCGCACAAGGATGATGTGATCGATATAGGTTTCAGTTATTTCTTGTAAATATGTAAATAAAATTAAAAAATAATTAACCAAAACCACGGTTAAGAAAAGTTTTTTTTTGTATTTACGGCTGCCGCGCTGTCGGTACCAAGATAAACAGTTATTACAAAAATAATATTCATAAGACACGGGTTTTTAACCACATTTAGTTTTTTCCTCCTATTACCGTAATCACTTCATTGAATCCGTGAACATGACGCAATTTTGCAGAAGTATCGGTAGCTCAAAACAAAAAATTGTAAGAAATCCCTGTCTTACGAACTTTAAATTAGTTTATTAGCATTTTTTACATTACAACTAGCATTTGCCCGCGATTCTGCCCGAATTGAAGTTAAAAAAAAAAGTAATAAAAGTGCCTATGTATTCTTCCAGACTATGTTCAATATCTTGCCAAATTTCATCCAGATCATCAGTCTTTTTGGCTACAAACTCTAACATCCATCCATCTAAACTTTCGCATTTATAATGTTTTCTAAAATAAGTGTTGTTTACCTCAATAATTTCATTAGAAGCTTGTTCAATCTTATCCGGTCTGTTGGCGAGCTCCGCCTTCGCCTTGTTCTCGCGCCGCTTCGTCAGTTGCATCTGCGCGTGCTGCCAGTTCTGGAACACCTGGAATTGCATACGTTACAGCGTCTATAACTAGCTGATGCTCGCGACTTCGTCTGTGAATCTTAATAATATAACCTATGTTATTCACAGATACATTACCTTTCCAATGGTGAAGGAATTATAAGAATCGGCCCAGTAGTTTTTGAGTTAATTCAATATATACAAAAACAAAAAGGAATTTCTCCTCTATTTAAGATGAGTATAGATAAAAAAGAAAAGATTTGGATTTTTGTATGTATTAAAATAACTCAAAAACTACTGATCCGATTACAAAAATTCTTTCACTATTAAAAAGCTACGTTGTCAGTAACATAATAACTTAGTAAAAGGGTATATTTTATTGTTTTTTTTAATTTCACACGGACGTATCCGCGGACGAAAACTAGTGATTTTATATTTAACTGTGCTTCATAGCTTCATCCGACGTATTTCAAGCACATTCTACTACGGTTTTGCATATAAAAGTAAACTAGTGGGAAAGTCGGTTGAATGTAAATTAATCTAGGATTTGTATATATAATACATACCTTAACTCTCTCGTGGAAAACATCCTTTATAGCACCAATCAGACCGAGGTAATCTTTTATGTGTTCCGTTAACACGTAAAAGTCTGTATTGGATTGCTCCATTCTTAAGTGTTCAATCTGCGAACAAACAATTACTTTAATTGTTATCAATATTGAGATCCGGTTTCCGAAATTATTTTATGCAGTCAGATGCAAAAATATGTACAAATTTTCACAAAACGTACAGGCCTTTGGTTTCAAAAATATGCATGCACAAGTATTCTTCAATAGTATGTATTTAAATTCAGAAACATACAGATGGACGAGTCAATGCAAATTTAAAAAAAAATTGGTCTAAAAGCTTTGTAAATTATACGGAAATATCATAAAAGTAAAGGTCTAGATGTATCTCTAGAACGGCTCAATGGATCTAAATAAAATTCGGCACAGATGTAGATCATAGTCGGGAAGAACACATAGGCTACAAAGTGTTTGTCAAATTCCAGTAATTAAACAGCTATTATATAAATTGAGCTGATTGTATGGTGGTCCTTTGAGTCGGATTCAACAGTTGTTTGTAAGTGGTCCTTCGAGCCGGATCTGACAGTTGACTGTAAGGTCCTTCGAGTCAGATTCGTTGTGTACCTTCTCGTGTAAATCCGCGAGGTGCGAGAGCGCGCGAGACAGCGGCGGGTGCGGGTCTGCGGCGGAGAGCGCGGCGGCGGCGCGCGCGGCGTCGTGCGCCCGCGCAGCCAGCTCGCGCCGCTCGCCCGCCAGCGCCTCGCACGCGCCGCACAGCCGCCGCAGCTGCGCCTCCACGCACTCCACGCGCGCAGTGCGCTCCTCGAACCACTGGCACATGGAAAGCATAACTGATTTATAACCTACAGATCAGCTCACGGTTCATGTGAAGATCTGTGGACCAACTCACAAATAAATTCAATATGTACCTACATTTGTATTTGTATGCGCTGTAAGTCAAATGTGAGCTGATTATTTAGTTGTCGAGTCACAGCTTAGTAGTTTAAAGGATGTTTATTGACAACTATGGTAAACTGATCATTTTCATTGAAAAAAAAAAATCGTATTGACATCGAACATGTCAATATTAAAGCAATCATTGGACCAGTAGATAAAATATTAAGTTCTATCTTACATGAAGTAAATATCACTGCTTAAAGTAAAATAGACATTATAAATTGACATGAGAATAGTTGTTCCTAGGTGTCAAACACAAGGAAATTCAACAAAAAACTATCTTACTAAACATTTAACATCATAATAGATAAAAATGTAACAGTAATGCTTACAGGGTCAGACTCGTCCATTCTGTAAGTGATTTTGTTGACGGTCTCTCCCACTTTGTTGAACAACCGCAACATGCCCGCGCCGCTCAGCGCTGACGTGCTCGTCGCTTTAGGTAGCTCCGTATCTAATTAAATACATATTAAAATTAATAACACTGACATCCACAAGATTCTAGAGTCAAAATCAAAATTATTATTCTATCAATAAAGTAGCTGTTGCTTGCGACCTCCGAGCGTGAAATTTAAAAAAAACATTAAAAATATAGCCTATGTTACTCGGAGATAAATTACCTAATTTTTTAAATCAGCCCAATAGGTTGTGAGTTATTTCAATACATACAAAAATACAAATCTTTCCCCTTTATATTAGAATAGATAAGCTTATAAAACAATTTTTTTAACACTATTAAAGACATTATCACGCACATATTGCAGTATTTTCCAAATGTAATATTATATTTAACAAAAGTTCTCACCGGATTCAAGGAATTCTCTAAAATCAGGATCTATACAAAGCACGGGGTGCTGCGCCACGCGGTTGAGGAAGCGTTCGAGCGCCGCGCGCCGTCGCTCCACGAACTGCGACTGCAGGCTGGCAGACGCGTTGGTGCCATTAGCGCTCTCCGTAGATGGGGTTGATGTCATCTTTAACTTTGTTGTACCTATATTAATACTATGATAAATTATACTATTCTACACTTTACATGTTAAAAGAACATATTAGTTAAACTAATCAAAAACGTTTTAACTTATTTAATGAAAAACAAAATTTAAATAACTTATCATCATCAACTTGCCCTTATCCCTTATGGAGGGGCGGCACAGTATGTGATGCTCTTCCATACATCTCTATCAGCCGTCATATCTGAAACCACTCCTTTCTTAAGCATATCCTCTTTCACACAATCCATCCATATTTCTTCAGTCTTCCTTTTCCTTTGTAGCCATCCACATGGATTCTTAACACTTTCTGGTTTATGTCCCCATTGTCTCGTTGCATAACATGTCCATACCACACTAACCTTTTGCTACTTTCAAACTTCAGTGGTTTCATTTTATCAGACATTCATAGCTGTGAGAATATGAACAAATCATAAGATTGGAATGTTAAAACAGTTGTACTACACTTTTACTCTTATCTCTTCGAAATTGAGTTACAAGTTCAAAGAGATAAGAGATATAACTGTACAATTAGAATCATCAAATACCATAAATTCAGACAGATCTCACATTGATAAGTATAATCTACATCTGTTAAAATGTAACTCTAGATACATAAAACTCACTATTGTCAACTTTCTCTTAACCCTATGGAGGGTCAGCGTAATATGTGCTGCTCTTTCATATCTGAATCGACTCACTTCCTAAGCATATCTTCTTTCACACAATCCATTCACACTTTCTTGTCTTCCTTTATATAAAAACTCACCAACAATACTCTTTTCTGGAGCTGGTGGTATTATTCTACCGGAACGAAGATATTTCTCCGTTAATTTCTCATGCAGGCCTAAGAAATCACTAAAACGTCGGAGAACACCAAATTCATGCTTGCTGAATATTGGCATATTTGTTTTTGTTAAAACATGATAAGCTACATATGAGCTCATGCCTTCACCAATCTTTTGAGGCTCTGTTACAGTGATTATTATATTATTGGCTCGTTCTGTTGCTATCTGGAATATAATAAGAAGATTCATAGTTTTAGTAGATTGTAAAAAAATAATTTATATGACATGAGGCTTAAATGTTAACATTAAAATGAGTCACAAAGATATTGTTTGAATCATACTTTCTTAAACCATGATAATACATTTTAGATAAGTGAAAAATAAATGTGACACAAACAAAAACAGTTTGTTTTGGTAATAATTGAGCAAAATTACTTATCAATATAATTAAGGTTATTTTAACGGGTTTGTGACCTTTTAAAATATGCATATTCTAGAGATATAAATATCCTTGAATGTACTTGATATAAAAAGTTGTAGTAGTAGAGCTAAAAACATTTAAAGCAAAACTTTCTGGTGTAAGTTACCGTTAGAGAAAATTGCAAAAGAATGTTTTGATAAAAAAAAACTTCAATTCAATGTAATCAATTTAACATTGATGTCAAGCATTATTTTAAATCACTGACCTCTTCCATAATAGGGCTTCCTACTACAGCTGGCATGGATGATACATCACTTATTGACACCTTCTCTAAAGACTCGCTTGTTCCATTTACCTCAGAATCCAGACTAACTTCCTGTAAAAAAATATTAATCAAAAAAAGTCAATAAAAATCAACAATATGTAATCATTCTTACCTAGATATGTATTTGCTACAGTTTAAATCTTGCAACACCACACTTTATATTAGAATTTGAGTTTCATATTAATTTGTACTAACAGCTAGTTGATCTTAGTGTATAGTAAATACAATAATAACAGGATTAAGTCTTAGTAAAGTAAAAGAAATAATCAATGTTTTAATAGGCTTATTTTACAAGTACTTTTGAAATAGATCAGAAAATAAAAATTGTTATAGGTGATTAGCATTTATTTAGCGTATTTACCATCTTTCAATCATAATAAAAGCACTTTTAAGAAATAATTCTAATTATCGTGCTAATTTACATTCCGCTAATACATGGTTTTCTTAGTTTAGAAATTGAATGGAGATTAAACAAAAAGGGGCGTCAACGAACTCTGCAGGATACCGCTAAATGAATGTACACCGAAGTAATTAATAGGAAATTCTAATAAGAAATACCTACCTGAACCGCTGAAGCAAATAGATCCTCCTCATCTCTGTTGATATCAACAGTGCTGAAAACCGGTGCATCGGTCTCTTCAGACATTTTCAATTATTTTTATAGCACCACGTATTTGATAAAGTAAAATGATGTTTTTAAATCAATGGCTCAAAGAGGGAAGATAAAACTTTAGTGATGCGTTATGTTGATGGCTTGTCAAATTAGCGTTGATGACAGATGTTCGTGTCCCATCACAGATTACATTACCAACATTTTATTCAAAATAAATGGAAATAAAAGGAAAATGGTATTTAAGTAGAAAAGTTAAATATATTAAGTGTTTCAAAATCTTCTTATTCTTCCATTTTTATCAAAAAATACGGAAAAACTAGTGAAATTATAAATAGTGTTCCGTTATACGGTTTTCCGTAAGGCTTCGACATGTCATCATATTTGCAATCTCGAAAAACTGTCAATTTATTGTCAATGTCAAAAATCAAAACTTCAACAACCAAAAATAAAACACCGTGTCAACAAAATAAAACCAGAATTCCTACTACAACAAGAAAAATATCAACGTATTTAATTTATCTTATAATATACTATACTAATTGGTTACAGAGTGTGTGCATAAAAAGTTAGTTAAATCTTACATCCCGAATATTAAATATGTTCACGATTGTGGGGTTTTGATAACTTTTATTGTTATATTTATTGTAGATGAGTGGCTCAGATAATAAAAAGAAAATAATACCCGTAGCTCCAGTGCTACCAGCTGTTGTCCCTGGCAATTTATTATCAAGCATAGCTCCGCCATCGGAACTTCCAAACTTTGTTACAGCTCCGGTTTTACAGGTATATTATTTAATAAAACTAATTTATAAAACCATGAAATATCTTAATACTGAGAAAAAATGATACAATACTTTTTGCGTTGAAATCTCTTTAACTTAGATGTTATTTAAAATAGATTGGAACATGCTAAGGCTCATGGTGATTGAGAGTCAAATATTTTACTAACGATCATATCAGTTGCCTTGTAAGCTTCTTTTAGTCTTATTAATATCAATTCTATGTTATGTTAATCTTTGATTGTCTGCATTACAATTGACTATGAAATATAAATTCCAGAAGCCCAATGTCATTGTACCAGTATCACAACCAGTGCAACCAACTTCAGTTGTTGATAATGCTGCAGTGGAGTCTACAGAACAGGAAACTTTCAGGTAGGATATTCTAGTTATTTGTGCTGCGCTATAGTAATCAGTAAACACCCAGATTATTAGTATGAAAATAAAAGTTACTAAGGTATTACCAAGCCATTATGGTTGTTAACTTGTTCAGTGACTCAAAGATAAAGTTAAACTTAACATTATCAGAATTTTCGTATGTAGATAATTTAAAACTACTAGCCTATTGCATATTCTTATGTCAATAGAAATCTACATCACTGAGTGACAGGCAATATTTGTTACTAGTTTTATTTTTAATTTAGCATAGTTGAAGTCACAATCATTAAATATAAAAATAATTAATAAAAAAAAAATTGGTTTCAGTCCTGCAATACCACCCAACAAGGGTGAGCCCACACTTCCAATCAGATCTCCTGAGGATTCTCAAGCCACACAGTCCCCAGAGTCACTGCCACCTTCCACACCGGAAATTGATAGAATTGGTTTGTATACTTAATTTGTAAAACTTTTTAATTACTATTATTAAAACAATCTTGCTTTTTTGCTGCCAGGCTTGTAGTATATGTCCCTTTTCTACATGACAATCTTTTTAAATTTATGCACTACCTTTTACTTTTTAAATTAAATAGTACAAAAATGTTTTGTTTATACTTGTAAGTGTAGGGTTTTTTTTTTTATTAAAAAAGAATGATTTAAAAATATTCTGTGATTGCTAACATCCTACATTTCAAAGAATTGTGTTTACACTGTACTATTTTACTTCTTACTAGTGACATTTTACTATAGTTTGGATGGATGGAAGTTTTTAGAGTTTGTAGCCTAAACACTGAATGGATCTTGATTAAATTTGGATTAGATGTAGAGGATAGTCTGGAAGAACACACAGTATAGTTGTTTTTTTTATTTCACCAATCCAATTTAATTATTATTGCTAGTATAAGTATACATTGTGAAATTATAGTTTTATTCTGAGGATAATTGTGTTTGTAGGTGATGTGATGCCCGGCAGCGGTCTGCTGACGTGGATGAAGGGCGCGGTGTCGTCGGGCGGCATCCTGCAGCGCGTCGCCGAGAAGGCGAAGAGCTCCGTTGACACTATGATCACTACACTCGACCCACAGATGAAGGAGTACTTAAGTATGTACTTTATTACATTTAATTGATTAATTTTACTAATATTATAAATGTTTAGATGTCTGGATGGATGTTTGTTAAGAGTTACAACCTAAACTGCAAATGGATCTTAATGTAATGACATAGATGATAGCCTGGAAAAATGTATAGGCTACTTACTTCTTTTTTTTACTTCCACGCAGACAGAGTCGCGGGCAAAATCTGTTTAGAAATAAGTAGATTGCTAAATTTATTCAAGTCATATAAAATATTTGAAAATATAAGACACTAGCTTTCGCCCGCGAATTCGTTCGCGTGGAATTAAAAAAACAAAAATGAGTAGCCTATATGTTCTTCCAGACTATCCTCTACAACTATACCAAATGTCATCGAATTCTCTTCAGATGTTTAGGCTACAAACTCTAACAAACATCCATCCATCTAAACTTTCACATTTATAACATTAGTGTGATTAAATTATAAGATATTAAAAATGTACTATTTTAAATGTAAATTATATTATTTATATAAGGCGTCGCACGCAATTTTAATCCGCAGAAAATATAAAAATTGAGTTATTATCTATGCTTATTTGAATTTAATTTTTCCACAATATAATCTTATCCATGTTCCAGATTTTTGTTACATTTAGTTTTTCTTGGTAACCATCTCTATGTTCATCTACATTTTCATGTTTTTCAGAAAGCGGTGGAGACTTGTATGTAGTGGTAGCGTCAGATAAAGAAGTAAATGTGTCGCCAATCAGAGAAGCATTCCAGAATGTTTTCGGCAAAGCAACTGTTGTGTGAGTATGTCGAACTTCTAAATAACTTTTAAACTTAAGTTATTCATAAATCAAGTATCAATTAGTAATAGAAAAATTATTAAAAATCATATGTGTATAATATAGTTTATATGAGAGATTTAACACATAAGAAATGTATGAATGTATAACTATTACTAACAAATTTACTATTTTATGAGTTATTTACGGTTGAAATAAAATAATTATTATATTATTGTAATCTTGCCATTTATCAATTTGATTTTCGATTTTTAGAATTTTCATATGTACATAAATTACCCGATGTTTTAACGGTGAAGGAAAACATCGCGATGCCTGCACATATAGGCAAATTCAAAGATATGTGTAAAGTCAATCCGCAGTGCAGCGTAATTGACTATGGCCTAGTCATCCTAACTTAGGGTAGGGTCCCGAGTGGGGGCAAGGGCGGATCCAGTTTTGGTGCCAGGGGGAGGGGTTACATAGTCGTGGTCAAGTCAAGAGCTTGACAAAATATATCAATATATTTTCATCAGCTCAGGGGGGGTATGACCCCATGACCCCCCTGGATGCTGTTGAGTGGGGACGTATAGTATGTTTAACTTGTCACCGACAGCGCGGCAGCCAAACACTTTTTATCAAATTAACACATCTTCATTCAAAACTTATTTACACAAATATATACAAAAAATCTCAAAACTATCTGGATCACATCTTGACTTCTTATTCTTCCTTTTCTATATATTTTCTTTAACCAACTGTATTTTGCACTCAACATGTTGTATTTTGCACTCAACATAGTGAGCTGGTGATTATTTGTTATAATTAAGCGTATTTTTAAATACCATAATAGTATCGGGAAAGTAAGAGAGTGTTTTGTGTATAAGTGGTGAGGCGTCGCAGTGCGATGTGACGGCGGCGCAGGCGGTGGGCAGCGCGGCGGCGTACGCGGCCGCCAAGCAGCGCCTGGCGCACGTGCGCGCCACCGCCCCGCACGTCAACAACAACGTGCCCGTCGTCGCCGTGCAGGCCTACCTGCAGGAAACCGCCGGGGACAGGTCATGTATATACCAATTTACATTTTGTTGTTATACTTATATTTTGGACAAGGAAAACGCATAGCCAAGAATGGAAAGAGCTGGTACATGCCTTTGTGTTACAAGACACGC